TTGTAAATCTCAAATTGTTCTTTGACTCGCTAATAGTGAGTAAAAAGCTGGCTGAGGCAGTAGGCATTTGAGATTTATAAATTCTAAAATTTCCTTTTAAGCCTAACCCTTCGGTACTTAATTGATAAAGCCGGAAAAAAAACTATTATATAAAAAAATTTATAAATACTAAATTTTTTTATTTATAACTTAGTATATAAAGAAATTTATAAATACTCGATTTTTTTATTTATAACTTAGTAAATAAAAGAATTTATAAGTACTCGATTTTTTTATTTATGTCTTAACAAATAAAAGAATTTATAAATACTTAACTTTTTTATTTATAACCTAATAAATAAAAGAATTTTAGGATTTTAATTAATTTAAGATTTTAGTTAATCTTTTTATTTATTATATAGCGTATAAAAGAATTTTAAAATTTTAATTAATGTAAGATTTTAGTTAATTTAAGATTTTAATTAATTTTTTTATTTATAATATAGCGAACAAAAGAATTACTAAGACTTTAGTTAATTTTTTTATTTAATATATAGTAATTAAAAGAATTTTAAGATTTTAGTTAATTTAAGATTTTAGTTAATTCTTTTATTTATTATATAGTAACTAAAAGAATTACTAAGATTTTAATTAATTTTTTTATTTATTATATAGTATATAAAAGAATTTATAAATACTAGATTTTTTTATTTACGACTTAGTAAACAAAAGAATTTATAAGTACTCGATTCTTTTATTTATAACTTAGTAAACGAAAGAATTTTAGGATTTTAATTAATTTAAGATTTTGGTTAATTCTTTTATTTACTATATAGTATATAAAAGAATTTTAAGATTTTAGTTAATTTAAAATTTTAATTAATTTAAGAGTTTAGTTAATTCTTTTATTTACGATATAGCGAACGAAAGAATTACTAAGATTTTAGTTAATTCTTTTATTTAATATATAGCGACTAAAAGAATTTTAGGATTTTAAATAATTTAAGATTTTAGTTAATTCTTTTGTTTATTATATAATAACTAAAAGAATTATTAAGATTTTAGTTAATTCTTTTATTTACTATATAGTATATAAAAGAATTTATAAGTACTCAATTCTTTTATTTATAACTTAGTAAACGAAAGAATTTTAAAATTTTAGTTAATTTAAGATTTTAGTTAATTCTTTTATTTACGACCTCGCGTATAAACGAATTTATAAGTACTAAATTCTTTCTTTTACAACTTAATAAACAAAAGAATTTATAAATACTCGATTTTTTTATTTATAACCTCGCGTATAAAAGAATTTATAAATACTTAATTCTTTTATTTATAACCTAGTAAATAAAAGAATTTTAAAATTTTAATTAATTCTTTTATTTATTATATAGTAACTAAAAGAATAACTAAGAATTTAGTTAATTCTTTTAATTATTACTTATTAAATAAAAGATCTTTTAGTTATTACTTATTAAATAAAAGAATTCCTTAAGCTTTATTTAATTCTTTTAGTAATTACTTAATAATTAAAGAAAATCCCGTAAACTTATTTACTTATTTCTATTTATATTAAATTTTTAAAAGAACTTTTTATTTTATAATATTAAGTAGTTATAGTAATAAAATAATATTATATAAATAGCTATAATAATAAAATAATATTAAGTAGCTACGGTAATAAAGTAATATTTAATAACTACGATAATAAAATAATATTATATTTTATAACTAAAAAAAATAACTTATTTTAATATATTAAAAAGTAATAACTAGGTAGTTATAATATAATAATATTTTTATTAATTTCTTATTTTTTTAGAATATACCGTATTTTTAAGTAAAAAGTATGTAAAATTCTTAAAATTTCCTAAACCTATGCCCATTTAGCCTACTTAATAATATAATATCATTTTAATTAATTTTTAGCTTTTTTAAAATATATCTTATTTTTTAATAAAAAGTATACGAAATTCTTAAATTTTCCTAAACTTAAGCCCATTTAGCCTACTTAATAATAATACTTTAATTAATTTATAACTTTTTTAAAATATATTTCATTTTCAAAAACTAAGTATACGAAATTTTTAAAACTTCTTAAACCTAAGCCATTTAGCCTACTTAATATTTGAGATTTATAAATTTTATTAAGCCTAACCCTTTTGTATTTAATTAATAGTATTTTACTTTTTACGATAGCCCCATAACACCTTCGGCTATGATACTAAAAATTCGGCTATAGTACTAAGGCTTGTCTTAACCCCTATTCTAAGTCTACTTAGCCTGTTTCGAGCTCTTTGTTCTTAACTTCATTAAGAGGAAGACTAAACTATATGAGCTTAATATAAAGAGGACGACAATTCCAGCGTACTTCCATCCGTAAGAGGAGTCCTTATAGTTTAAAGTGCGGAGGTAATCGCCCCCCTTAGTATAGGGACAGACTCTACATCCAGACGACGCTTCTGGGTTAATCAAGTTCGCACCAGACTCGGTTAAGTAGTCGTTGAGATAATCTAGGCAAGTCGAGTTTACCGGCGGGTTAAACAGGGCAAATTCGCGCTCCTCGCATTCCACCTCGGCATCCGAGACAACAAATGTCAACATGCTCCCGACCAAGTACGTCGTTGGGTTAAGGTAGTACAGCCAGTACCGATAAAATGCGGTAATCTGCTGGTAGGGGACAAGGATGCCGCAAAACGAAACCAACGCACCGACGAGCAGTGGGTTAAGCAGCGAAGCAAACACGGCGTTGGGCGCCCATGCGGCAATGAACTGGCCTATTCCGGTATACAGGAGCTCATAGACAAGGACGATGAAGAATGCAGCACCGGCCGTCTGAGTATCAGACGAAAAGCCAACGGTGTAGTACCAGCATACGAAATATAAAACTCCACAAATGACCAGGTATGGCAGCTCAGACACGATCAGGGCCATGACAAGAGCCTTCCAGGAGTAGATTCGTGCTTTTTTCTCGCGCACGTCGTATAGGTTGCGCCGCTCGATGAAAAGTGGCTGTAACTGATTGATGACGCCGGGCGCCACGAACATCCAGACAAAAACCGTAAATAGCCGGAGCTGGAGGTCACCAACAGCATTGCCAATCATCCAGTACGTAAAACCGTTGAAAATACCTAGGCCAATGTGCAGCATGACCTTGTTGTTGACATATCCGGTATTCCGAAATAACGCGATGCTCATCCGCCGGAGGACAACATGGGTCTGTTCGCACAGCGGCATGGCGTACTCATGCTCGGCGTCGTGGTCAATTTGGTCGGAGAACGTGGGCTCGAGCATAGTGTTCAGTGTCGTGAGCGTTTGGGCGTGCTCTGGGGACTTGAGCCAAATTTCATGCCAGTCCGTGTCAGAGAGGCGCCCCGACACTACGTCAATCATGTAGTCTGCAGGATTGACGCCGGGCGGGAAGTGCGCGCCGTGACGCCCAAAATATTTCTGTATGACCTGTCCATTGTGTCCAATATCTCCAAAGTAGACGGTTCTACCGCCCCTTGCTAGGAGAAGAAGGCGGTCGAATTGGGAGAATAGCTGCGCAGACGGCTGATGCACCGTAACCAAAACACCTTGTCCTACGTCGGCGAGCTTCCGCAGGAATCGTACTGTATTATAAGCCGACTGGCCGTCCAAACCGGACGTGGGCTCGTCAAGGAAGATCAGGAACTTTGGCTTAGCGACGAGCTCAACCGCGATTGTAAGTCTCTTTCGCTGCTCGACATTGAGGGAGTTTCCAGTGCCGGGCTGGCCGATCAAGGTATCCGCGAGATCGTGGAGCTCCAGCATGTCGATGATAATGTCCACGTACTTTAACTTCTCCTGCTTCGGCGTATCCCGGGGCTGGCGAAGCAGAGCCGAGAATTCGAGAGCCTCTCGAACCGTTGCAAAGGGCTCGTGCACGTCCAGCTGCTCAACATAGCCAGTGGACCTCTGAAAGGAGACGGGTAAGGGTCGACCGTTTACCAAGACTGAGCCATTGATCCTGCCCTCGGTCTTCCGCTGGGCCAGAACGTCGAGCAATGTCGTCTTGCCCGCCCCCGAGGAGCCCATCAGGGCCGTGAGTGTCCCTGGCTGGACCCAGCCGTGCACGTTGTGGAGCAGTGTCATTGGACCTGAAGATGTCCGAACCGTGTAGCTGAGGTTCTTCCAGGTGAAGACTGCGGAGCTTTGGGCTATCTGATCTGTGGACATCCCGAGCGTTTCCGTGCCCGAGCCTGAGTTGTCGTCCGGTCCATCGGACACTTGAGCTTCGTTGTCGTCCAAACGCTTCTGTTGATGCTGCTTCAACTTCTCCCGCGGGATGAGTAACGAGGCCCCGGACGAAGACGATTCGCTCCAGCACATGGTCGCAACGACTGTTATGGCGACGTAGAATATCCACCAGGCACATAGAATTCCAAAGTTACGCCATACGTTGGAGTGTCGGTAGCTGAGCGATGCGAGGTAATCGTCGCCGTTGACGGCAGTGGCTCCTGGCTCGGCTCCGCCAACGCCGGCACAGGCTTGGTGCACAGTGTCTGTATAAGACGCTCCGTGAGGTATCAGGTTGACCTGGGCACAATCAATGACCTTGAGATGCAACTCGTTCCCCATCAAAGCCTCGAACCCGTACGATAGGGGATTGATCCAGTATAGCCAGCCGAGCCACGGGCGCATCTGGGTCTTGGTGATTTGATAACCTGTGTACATGGCCATTGCGGAGATGACGTATCCGGAAATTTTGGAAGCTCCATCAAAAGTTCCAGATGCGGCGCCAATGGCTCTAAACATGGCAATTGAGCACAGGTTGTTCATGACTAGAATCAGCCAGTAGGTGAAGAAGGCACCAACTGATGGCGTCAGATGAACCATGAAATAGACAATCAATGACCAAACAGTGATCTGGAAGAGTACAACTGGCACGTCGGCAGATATCTGAGCCATGCAGGTTGCCGCTGGATGGAAATAGGCAAAGGTCCTGTGCTTGAGGATGACGGGTCGGCCGCTAAAGGAGTCAACCACCTCTGACATGGCCGTAAGGCAGTAGTAGAGCAAAGACCAGAAGAGTATTCCGCCCTTAAGAAAAAGCCCGGTGCTGTCGCTTGGTGCGTTGTAGTATAGCGATCCTGCCACTAGGGCCTGGATCAGCGACGCACCCTGTTTCATCAGGAACGTGGCAAGATCGCCAACGAGGATCTGATACTGGCGTACAACGCATATCCAAACCTGAGAAGCGAACGCCACGTTATGTACGCTCTGGATGGAGTGCTGTTCGTGCTCAACGGAAGTTTTGAAGTCTCTTGTGCGGGATTGGGCAAGCTGGCTGTCTGGATACTGATATTTGTCTGTAATGCCGGCGTATGTAGGAGAATGACGGTATCGATTGTAGATCTCATCTGCATTCCGAGGGAATTGTTTCTCGTAGCCGGGCTGAATTTGCCGCTCAGTTGGTACCGTGACGCCTGTAAGGAAGTCTGCCACGTTGGCACCATCGTGACAGATGAAACCTTGGTCTTCCATGAAACCCCGAGCTTCCTCTCTAGGGCCGTAGAAGATCTGAGTTCCCTGATCTAGAATGAGAACCTGGTCAAACAGGTTAAAGATGTCGTTGCTGGCCTGATACAAAGTCGCGATCGTCGACAGACCATGGACATCCGTCATTGCTCGCATTGCCTTGGCCCACTCCAGCGCGTTGCTAGCATCTAGTCCACGAGTACTGTTGTCCCAGCAAAAGACGGAGGCACGAGATGCCAAACACTCCAAGACCGAGACACGCTTTCTCTCACCACCCGATACACCACGAATATACTCATTTCCCACCTTGGTATTGGCCGTGTGAGCAATACCGAGGGAGTCGAGAAGGAAATGCTTGGTCTCGTCGGAATACTCCTGATCTGATGCGGCGCTGTGATGGGAGGGGACCTTCAATTTGGTGGCAAAATCCAGAGTCTGTCCGACGGTGAGAGATGGGAAGAAAATCTCTTCCTCATCATTCATTATAATTTGTCCTCGATACGCCTCGGCTTCCTTGTGCGTCATGCTGCCGAAGAACACGTTGCCATCAATCTCAGAGAAGCCCTTCCGGCGGTTCGAAAGGATTTTGAGCAAAGTCGAGCATCCTGACCCAGGACGACCGAGCACCAAAAGCATCTCGCCAGGAAGAACGCAACCGTGGCTATGGTGGAGTATGGTCTGCATCGGCGCCTGATGGCGCATTCGACGTATGCGCGAGGCGAGGTGGAATTGCGAAAGGCAATTTTCGTGACAAGCAACCTCGGCATCTGGGACTCGTACGGTCAAATCGGTCCACGTAACGCCTAGCTCGCGCTTCTTGAGTCCGGCTGCTTGGTCTCGTTGCTGTAGCTCGTGGATCTTGTCCTTAAGTCGCCAGCCATGGGCTACGGTCGTTGCCGGCATCTTCTCCGTTGAGGGTGTCACCGCCCGCGAGATATCATCTAAGGGATCCATTGTAGAAATTGTCAAGGCCGCCATAGGGACCTCTGAGGGTGCTGTCTGGGGGTTTAGATTTGAATGTTTTCGCACGAAAGTGTGCATGCATGGAATGGCGAATGAAGAGAGGATAGTATAGGTAAGGTAGAATGGGAATGTTGAATGCAGAATTTGCTCTCTTATTCGTTTTCTGTGCTTGACACAGACCGCAGTCATCAAAATCCGAGACCCTCATCAAGTATAGATGTTGTCCATCGCTGAATGTCTAAGTGGATAGAGTCAAGTCAGTCAAGTTCCGAAGCGGCCAATAGATGTACACTGTAAATCCCGTGGCGGAAACGCCGATCATGTAGTGCCTAATTCGGGAGCCCGCGGTGGGTCTTTTTGGAAAGCCGATAGGGCCGAAGCGTCCGAGGATCCACTACCCACCGCTACAATCCTTCCTCAACATCACATCTTGCCTCCACTATCTTACAAATCGACTGTACATGTAGGCATCCAAACAATCCCTGTCTCTGTTTTCGGAGCCTCAACATTGAACGCAAGATCAGTATTTACATCCCGACTGATCAGACCGCCTCGGCCTAAGCACATTTCGGTATCACTGCCAGGAAACATGTCTCCGAAGGCAGACACGGATGGCTCCAAGTCCCAGCCATCCGGCCCGGCTCTACAAGCGGTACGCTGGCCATTTCTGGATGCCCAATCAGATAGCTTTTGAAGCAATGACGTGTTGTACTGACAATCTTTGAGTGTGATCAGTGCTACGCAAGAAAAGTGAGTGTGCCACACCTCTAAACAAGCCCTATTTCGATTCTCGATGCTGACAGGACAGATCAAATGCGATCGACAAAACCAATGCCAGCAATGCATTTCAACAGGAACTTGCTGCGCTAGGACGCGACCCAAGACGATCCGCCGTCGTAGAAGGCCACTGTGAGTTCCTCCTCATCAGCTCCGGGATCTGCTCAAATACCTGACATCGTTATTGCTTTGCAAAACTGAATGCCTCCGGTTCCGAGCCTCCGACGGTACTCGGGACACGCGGTTCGACAATCGCTTCTCAGACGAGTACTCAAGGCCCTTGGGACAACGGCCTGGAGCTACAGGCCGACTCATTCCCTGCTACGCCACAACCACCTGAGAAACTTTTGCCGGTGACTTATGACACCTCTGATCATACCGACAATATCATTCAACAAGAGCTCGACTCCCGAGCCAACATTACAGCCGACCGCGCTTGGGTGCTCCAATCTGCCATCTCCCTTGTGGCAAATTTCGTCGCTTCAGCACAGCAGCCAGACGTGGCGGGGGCTGCCTCCGTGGTCGATGGGTCCCTCGTCACGCCTGATGAGATCCCTTCAGAGGTGTTCTACATCCTGTTCCTGGGTTAGCCTTCACGTCCTTCCGGTGACATACATCTTTATGTGGATGAACGAAACTAATTTCTGGCTACCACTTAGGTCAATCCGGCCGCTCAAAGTCTCCGCATCATTGGCCCGACCACATATCCACGAAAACCTTGGAGAGGATGTGCAGGACACTTTCCAGCGGCATCGTCAGCGGCCAAACTTCCGTTCAAAATAAAATATGCGTGTTGTACAAGGCAACAACGTACAGTAGTAGCTGGTTGCGTTTCTGCGAGCCCGGCTTCCTATGCGACACGCTTCAGGCATCCCACAGAAGCTACGCCGCGATGTGCGAAAAGCTTCTTAAAGAAATTGATCTTGTCAGCCATCCTAGCCTTGGGACACTCCAGGCCCTTCTTTCTGGGGTAAGAACTAATCACTCGATACAAAGTTACGAATTCAGAAACTCCTCAAAAAGACGTACTAACTTTCGAATGGGCAACGCTGGTGCTGCTTCTAGGTAGGACATCACAAGCGTGGCACCTAACGGCACTAGCATCTCGCGTCCTAGTTTCTCTCGGCTTTCACAGAGCCACGCAAGCAAGCCTTAGTGTGGAAGCTAAGGCTGATATTCGGCATTGCCTCTATTGGTGCTATTACCTGGACAAGACCCTGAGCATGCTCGTCGTGCGCCCTTCCTCCTTACCCCATCTGGGGTGGAACGCGATAGACTTGGTTCCCACGGACCCGAATAATCCTCTGAGTCTCAAAGCTAGGATTTCGGTTAGGCTTGCTCGTGTTCAGGATGCCTGCCTTCCGCTCCTTATGCCACAGATGAGGATGGACGCAAACCGCGTGTCGCAGACGGTCGCATCTCTCGAGGCAGACTTACAAAATATCCACCAAAGCATCATGGAAGTGAGTCGAGCCACACTATTCGTAAATCCATGTATGTTTCGCATACCTGAGGCTGATGTGGGAGTTGTAGCTGAGAGATGAATGGACCAAGACGCCCGATCTTGCCCTAGAATGGGATACCACAGACTTTACATACTACGCCGTACTCACAACCGTCCTCCGACTCGACAAAACCTCGCTTCATGACCAGAATAAACGCGATAAATGCCTCGAGTACGCGAGAGAAGCTCTCTTGGCTATGCAACGATTCCAGGTGAACAGCCACCTGCGACCCAATGCTACCACAGACTTTTTTTCCTGGTATGCCTCTTACTCTCTCATCTCGAAGCAAAACGAACCCTCACATCTCCATGCCACTGACTAATTTCGTCAGGACGGTGCTCTCATACCCTCTCACCCCCTTCTTCGCCCTCTTCTGTAACGTCGTGGCAACATCCAATCTCCAAGACCTTGAACTACTTGCCAAGGCCACAATGATCCTATCCCAGATCAAGGAACAGTGCACCCTAAGCATGAACCTCTTCCGGCTCTTCACGCACTTCATCGACCTCTGCACACACCTGGACGACATCAAGTCCTCCTGGCCGCGGATGCAGAGCGGTCTCCGATGGCCCACGCACGGATCGGATCCGTTGCAATCTTCGCAGCGGCCATCGACGGCTCAGACTATGCCCGGCTTACAATTAGACGATGACCAAATCGTCGAGGAACAACGAGTGCCTTGTTTCCCTACTGAGCAACCGATCTCGCGGGTAGATCACCAAGACAATCGACAATCGAACGCGCAAAGTGGTGGTCCGAGTGGGGAAGTAGCTTGGCGCGATGGTCTCGTATGGGAGCTGTTCAATCTCCAGCCCTCAATCGAGTCGTTCGACCTGTCCTCGTTCGACTGGAACTTCGACGCTATATAGAGAATCTCAGGGGTATCCTGAAAAGTAAAGTGTAGTAGGTTTATTAATAGTTACTTTGTAGTTTACTAAATGCAAACTAAAAGTTGCGTACTAGCTTTTTTTTTTTTTATAAATCAGGATATATAAATATAATAAGAGCCAATCCTATAACTTAAGTCTAACGTAACGATAACATATTATATTATATAAAGCTTAAACTTTTAAAGTTATTATTATAATAAATAATTTATAATTCGGTTATTTTATTAAGTATTTATATGTATAAAATCATAATACTTTTAATCTTAGTTATATTATAAGTTAACTAACTATTTATAATAAATCCCTTTTTTACCCTTTTTCTTAAGTCTTTATTAACTTTACGTTATAGTTTCTATATTATAATTATTCTTAATCTATTCTTTTATATTTTTACTTTTACCTATTACTAGGGTAGTTTTTATAATCTTTTAATAGTATTAAATATAATATTTATAAGTACTCCTACTTTATTAATAGGTTATTCTTCTTAATATTTTTACTTCTCCCTCTTATAAAGTTTTTAATATATATTAATTAATAGCGACATTCCTAATCTATATAATACTCTTAATTAAATTCATTATAGTATTTATTCTTTACATTATATAACTATATTATGTATAATAAAGTATTCCCGTAACTTAAATTAATAAATCAGGTTTTAAATTATAATTTATATAATATATAGACTGTAAACTACGATAACATTATACTAAGTTTATACATTTAGAGTATATATCGAGCTACTTGTAGATCAAGTCCATTAAGGATACAATAACGAGGCAGCCTTCTATACTTAGTCTAGGGAACTAGATTCCAATCTCTAATAACGAGATTAATCGGTCGCCTCAACCTTCCCAGGATATACTAAACCATTTTGACGGCGAACCTCGTCCATCACGTCCATGACGGCTATTGTCTCGCTCAAATCCATGTGTGACCCCTCGGTTCTACCCTCAATGATTGCTAGAGCTGCATCGTCCGCCTCCCAAAACATGCCCTGGCCCTCTCCTTCCGGGTTCCTAAAGTCCAAAAACCCATTGTACCATCCACTCCCTTTACCGGGTCCTGGTTGCTTCCATCTCTTTTCTTCAATATCTCCACTGCAGAGGACGAGTCTCGTGGATTTAGGGCATTGTGGCTCGGAGAAAAGCTGCAGCTCGCCTCGCTCTCCTTGGATGCGTACACAGGGTAGAGGAGAATGTGAATCGTTTGGAACATTTCCAATACGCATTGAAGTGGTGGCGATAGCATGGGCGTCGCCACCTGCCGAGGCCTCTCGGGGAAACGTGAGGATCATCGTAGTGGTTTCATCTGCCGAAATGCTCTTGTACTGTGGCTGATTAGCGGGAATCTAAATTTATATTACTTGAAAATTTACCTTTGTCATCGTGGAGAAAACTTTTGGTGTCGTCTTCTGACTCTGGCTTTGCCAGAAAACCAAGAATGGCCAGGTTAGGCTGTAGACTCCGAGATCCAAAAGCGCACCGCCAGCCAGATCGGCGTTAACCATTCTATGCTTGCCATCGCCGAATGAGGTTTCGGGCGATAACCTAGCACTAGAGTCTGAGAAGACTCTATAGATGTTTCCCAGCCTTCCAGAGCTGATGACATCCCTGACATAAGAAGTCAATGGAAAGTACCTTGTCCAAAAAGCTTCCATCAGAAGCAACCCCTTCTCCTTTGCTTTCTCGACCAAAAGGCGTGCTTGCATAGCATTTACCGTGAAAGCTTTTTCGCACAGAACATGTTTGCCGTTTCGCAAGCAAAGCATAACATTGTTGTAGTGGTGCGAATGAGGCGTAGCAACATATACAATTTCGACATTGGGGTCCTGCGCAAGCTCCTCGTACGATCCATAAGCCTTTGCATTTGAGGGGGCTCCTACATCCTTGAGAAAAGATTCGCAGCGCGTTTTAGACGTTGAAGAAGCAGCTGCGACAACAGTATGCTTGAAACTGCCGACCCCACGACTTTGAGGATCCAAGAGTAGGTCTTTTGTGCTATTGAAGTTATGAGTATGATGTATGGAAAATTGAAGTTGTGAACGTACAAGGTGACAGAAATCGCACCGGTAGCTAGAACTCCCCAGCGGATTTCACGAGGAATCGTCATACTGTTTAATACTTGTCTCTAGGGAGCAGCAAAAAATAGAACAGCAAACAAGGTAATCATTCACAGGTGAAAGGGCACCATTTTAAAGGAGCCAAATTCCATCGTCCATGACAAATCTCATCTCGATGCTTTTCCCTCATCCCATGTGTGTTCCATCACAATCAGGCATGTATAACGTCCAAACGTCTAGATGAGGTTACACTGATTGGCGGGCTTATGAAGACGAGGCTCAAAGGTTCCGCTTCGGAGTGAGAGGTAGATACAATTTAGCCGCAATAGCAAAACGCTCTTTACTGCTCTCGCTCACCGCGGCAAACCCTTAAGTCAAAGCACCCACTTTTGGGCACCCCCCCCTTTTGGGCACCCCAAAAAATCCCTCCCAGCCACCACATTAAAACCCTACGACTTAGTAAATAAAAAAATTTATAAATACTTAATTCTTTTATTTATAACCTCGCGTATAAAAGAATTTATAAATACTAGATTCTTTCGTTTACTATATAATAAATAAAAGAATTTATAAATACTTAATTCTTTTATTTACAACTTAATAAACGAAAGAATTTTAAGATTTTAGTTAATTTAAAATTTTAGTCAATTCTTTTATTTACGATATAGTAAACGAAAGAATTTTAAGATTTTAGTTAATTCTTTTATTTATAATATAGCGAATAAAAGAATTTTAAAATTTTAGTTAATTCCTTTATTTATTATATAATAACCGAAAGAATTACTAAGATTTTAGTTAATTCTTTTATCTAATATATAATAACTAAAAGAATTATTAAAATTTTAATTAATTTTTTTATTTATAACCTCGCGTATAAAAGAATTTATAAGTACTAAATTCTTTTATTTACTATATAGTAAATAAAAGAATTTATAAGTACTTAATTCTTTTATTTACGACTTAATAAATAAAAGAATTTATAAGTACTTAATTTTTTTATTTATAACCTCGCGTATAAAAGAATTTATAAATACTTAATTCTTTTGTTTATAACTTAATAAATAAAAAAATAATTAAAATTCTAATTAATTCTTTTATTTATTATATAATAACTAAAAGAATTACTAAGAATTTAGTTAATTCTTTTAGTTATTACTTATTAAATAAAAGAATTCCTTAAGTTTTATTTAATTCTTTTAGTAATTACTTAATAATTAGAAAAAATTCCGTAAACTTATTTACTTATTTTTATTTATATTAAATTTTTAAAAGAACTTTTTATTTTATAATATTAGGCGGCTATAGTAGTAAAGTAATATTAAGTAACTACGGTAATAAAGTAATATTTAGTAACTACAGTAATAAAGTAATATTTATTAACTACGGTAGTAAAATAATATTATATTTTATAACTAAAAAAAATAACTTATTTAAATCTATTAAAAAGTAATAACTAAGTAGTTATAATATAATAATATTTTTATTAATTTCTTATTTTTTTAAAATATGCCGTATTTTTAAGTAAAAAGTATGCGAAATTCTTAAAATTTCCTAAACCTAAGCCTATTTAGCCTACTTAATACTCTTTATTAATCTTAATAAAGCTATTTATAACGGTTTTATAATACTCCTTATTCTTATATACTAAATAAGTAATAAAAAGTTGCTTTTTTATTTATTATTTTTAAATTATTTTATTAATACCCCTTTTCTATTTATAAACCTTAATAAATATCTATATAACCCGAACCCTAAGTTTTTAATTAATATAAAGTGCTAACTAATTATTACTCTATTCTGACTCTAATTAATATTACTCTAATACTCGGATTATATTATATAGTTTATATAGCTAATTCTATTTAAATCGCTTGCGAATAATACTTAGGGTCCTTTTTTTTATATTTTACTCCGATTAGACCTCTAATAACTTTTCCTTACTTAATTAGCTTTAAAAAAAAACTACTAAGACTAATCGCCCCGCCCTATTTTAATATGAAAACTAAGTTTATTAAATTTAATAAACTTAATATAAAATAAAACATTTATAATAGGTAAATGGATATGATAATGCGTATATTTATTTAGACATTACGTATTTAAAAAGCTCTAAGCAGGTAAATAGCAATGCATTCTAAAATGTTTAGTTTAAAGTTGATGGCCTAGCTTAATCTCCATATCCGGGTGACGCTTGCTCAATCCCTTTAGTGCTAAGAGACTCTGGCGGCTAGGATCTCGGTCTTTTAAAAAGCTTCCAGGTTCGACAGCGTTGTCCCAGCCCCAGCGGGTGTGGCACACATCACCTGTCATAAGCACTGGCCCTGATGGCGTTCGAGCAACAAGAGCAATGTGTCCTGTTGTGTGACCAGGGCTGTGGATAGCGAACAACGTGCTGTCTCCGAACACATCAATAACACCCTCGAACTTGTTGTCCGCATCCTTGGGTATATTGAATTCCCGTAGAGGCGGCCGTCCGGCGAGGAGACGATCGTTTGTGCCCTGGACAGCAGCGTTCATGACCAACTCCGAATCGGCCTCATGTGGCCCGATGTAGATAGGCACATCCTTCGGAATGTCGGGCAGCCCAGAGACATGATCGAGATGGAGATGCGTCATAAAGACACCTTTGAGATCGACACCTTCGGCTTCAATGATCTCCTTCGTACTTTGTCGAACCTTCATCTCACCGATTCCGGCGTATTTCCGCAAGATCCAACCCACTCCTACCTCTGCAGGCTCTTCCACAAAACGACGCGATACGCCTGTATCGACCAGATAGAAGCCTTCGGATGGATGTCGAATAACGTGAGTAAAGATCTTAATTGGCTCGCGGCGTTCTTTCAGACCTGCTGCTTTTGCCTTGGGGTGATTCAGGTTGAGAACCCCCGATAAATCAGCCATCCAGTCAGCGCTGACAGTCTTGACCTGAATCGGTCCCGCCTGATCCATCAAGTGCTCCATATGTCCTGACGCCACTCGATTTCCGAGTCTTGCCGGGGCAGTCGGGTGGCTTGTCGCTTTGAAACCGAATGGACTCATAATGCTTGATTGTCCAGTTTGCTACCTCGCTTTAATTCAAGCTTCGTGATTGGGTGTTAAATGCGACTAACCTTTCTGAGGTACACTGACGACTTTGTTGTTTCCTTCCAGTGACGTAGAATTTAGGCTCAGTGTATAAAGGTATGTAGGATGTGTGAGATCTGAACAGAGAGTTATATACTGCCACGGATTGCTGGAGCATGATTTTTTGTATGAACGGCCTCGACTAATTATTTGTACTTGAACGACTCGCTATGTTAGGAATGTTTTCGTTTCGATAGGAGCGCCGGCCTCGGCCTAACATCGCATACTTCTTTCACAGCTCAATAAAAATTTAATACACCTTCGCCGTATAGCGTATCTATCTGCCCTGGCCCATCCACAATATGGGTCAAACTCCGATGAGGATTCAGGGATCAAGGTCTTTGATAGTTGGTCATACGCATGTGGTGTTGTTAACATGTAGTTCTTAGTCATTAGTATTTCTTACGAAGATGCGCCTAAATGCCTGTCTAGAGCTACTACCTGAAACAGCCTTGAAAGCTGACCCATGTCACAGGAGCGCGCGTAAGCGTAATGCGCAATAGTAGCGCATCACGAGTCATGGCTTTGCCGTGATCCCTAGTTCTTTGCGGTGTCACCTCTCTTTTTCTATTCTTCGCGCTACGTCTAGTACTGTATCCAGACCTTACGGGTCATCTAAATTTACTAAATGCCTCCAGCACTCACTCTGGGGACCCCTGACCCTCATAATCCTACTGCATTGGTCCTACTTCGCATCTCTAGCTTTGTAACCTGGTGGGACTTTGAATAATGACATGCCATGCCATGCCAGGCAAACCTTCATTTTGCTCGGGATAACTTTTGGCCGTCTCGGCGACTTTTAGATAGGGCACCCACCTCATGGATGCCTTCGCGGATGCGCTGGCTCTCTACACTCCTCTATAGCCCTTGACTTTTTCACAAGACGGCACATATAGTAGAGATAGAGTGCGGGATAATGCGGCATACAGTAGACGCCAAAGTTCCACCTGCGGAGTTGCCAATGTCCGCAGTGGCACAGTTACCTTTCTTGCGTAGCACTGGGAGTTCGAAGATGGTTAGTACCACACGTCATTGCTCCAAAAGCTAGCTACTCCCGCCTCTAGATATGGCCAGCGCCCTGCTTAGAGAACTAGGCCGGATGGCTGGGAGTCGGAGCCACCCTTGTCTACCTCCGCAAGCATCTTCTCTAGCAAAAATACTTAATTACGCCCAGGCCGAGGCAGTCTAATTAGCCAGAATGTTAATACTAGATCTTGAATAAAATAGTGAGGATCCGAGGACAAAGACGAGGATTGCTTGGATGCCTCCCTGTACATTCGAAGTCTGGTGAAGGCAACATGTAGTGTTGAGGAATGTTTGTAGCGGTGGGCGATGGACCCTCGAACGCTTCGAACTATGTCAAGCACTGAAAACCAATAAGAGGGCAACTTTGGCATTCGATTTTCTCAACGAGGGATGTCCCCAGAATAGACCTATACCTTTCCTTTCTTCGTTGACATAGATAGCTTTATCCAATACCAGGACCCTCTCGTATGAAAATACTCAATTCAAAACTTCCAACAGTATACTCGGAGGTCCCTGTGTCGGTTTCGCAATGTTTACAACAGAATACTCTAATGACATCACGCAGGCGGTGAATAGGATTGCGTACCTCGACAAACGAATTAGAGATGGCATAGCTACATCCATATGTTCCTGGGGGCGTCATGGGACACTATTAAAATCATGTAGTAACTTGGTAGTCATATCAACCACAACCTTCTGCTTTCTTCTGGGCTTCAAAAAGCAATCTTGACCTTCATTTCCTGATTGAGCAAGGCGGCCGCCTCGGACCATAAGCCATATTAGTATCACACGGCCGTAGCCTGTTTGCCTACGCTCTGCAATCTCCAAGTTGCACATGAGGGGTGAGTATGGTTAATGAGACGTTTTGCAATAGGTTGACGCGGCGTGGGAGGAGCCGTTGGCTCACCGAAATGGATTTCTATTAGCTCATTCTGAAAATGCCCAAAGCCTCCCACGTAGATATGTCGGATGCATCATGCATATCTGCACCTATGATTCGTCGCCTAGTGGTGTATATTAGTGCAGGTCGTCTGACTTTGCATGCTACCGGTGTGGGTCTCGATAGTATCACAGTCTCTATATTCATGCCGATGAGCTTGGGTCAATGGCAACTCATTCGCTATCGAGCAATTTCAATAATGCAATTACGTATTCTTAGAAGCACAGGGGAATAGCAAAAAGCCTGCCAGGATGGAGACTTCGAGATCTATATCCCGATGAGACTTGTGCGACACGGTTGGCGTTGCCTGTAAGCTGGAGTAACGTTATTAGTGGCTGAACCTCAGCGGCATACGCAAAGGCAACCTCTTTTGCCTGTCAGCCTGATTTTAAGAGAGACCGATGGTAATACATAGGGGCCAGTCTCCCGAGCCATTCCCCCAAGCTCCAAGCCTGCTTTGCCTGTCATTCATCGCTTCGCTCTGCATTATACGGTGCGCCAATCAATTTTCAGTCCCGCCCTCGTATTTTATTCTCAAACCTCCAGATATGGAGTCAAACGACTCTCCCCCTAATGGTAGTGACTGGTTCAACAGATGCCGATCACACGTACCTTGGCGGACTCGGACTCCTTCCCCAGCAAACCTTCCGGGTCTCTGTCAGCACTGCTGCAAGATCGACTTCGAACAGTTTGCATCGACACGAGTTCCGTCCAAGGACAACTCGCCACAGACGAGGATACTCATCTCGCTCTTCAACGTTATCAAACATCAACGAGATGGAAGATGCAATTTTTGCACTGTTCTCTTCGACGCCATCGCACTCAAACGTCACGATCCATTCGAACATCCAGCTGTGAGGGACTACATGCCTTCTGATGCGAGAGGTAGGACTTTCGAGACATGGGCAAAAGGAATCAGGTGGCATGATAGATTGACGCATGTTCCCCATCCCTTCGGGCAGAGTCGGAACAGGATCATCATTGAAGAAGACCCTTCAAATCCAAATTTGTTACGAGAACGTCGTGATGAGGCGATGGAAAATGCTGAACAAGCGGGACTCTTTACCAGCGGCGCGGTTGTTGGCGCAACTACGACCGCCGCAGTACAGGACACGAATAGGGACCGACAACTGGGTCTCACTGTTGCAACCGGCGCAGGGTCGTTGGCCGCCTCGCTTCTCACTATGGACAATAAGTTGCCTGTCGTTTTCCAGGTAAAGATGCACAACGTCAATGCCGATGACGCTGGGCTTCTCGAGATAAGCCTTTGGGGGTATGGAGGTCGGGCACAGGCACCTCTCACAATCCTCAGCCAGTTCAATCTTCGAATCGCGTCCAGCCTGATGATCAAGGAAGGCAAAGAAAACCTTCGTTATGGAAGAACGATGGGTAAGAGAGTCAATATTGAAGGCGACTGTCTTAATTGGCTGAACCATTGTCGCCAAAATCACGAGCATATCTGCGCAACGCCTCAGTGGTCGACTGGTCTGCCTAAGCCAGCGGGCGAGCATTTTCGACTCATCAAAATCGGAGAACTCAAACCTCGAAATGAAGAAGGCGAGATCCCAATGCATACCAAAACCCAAGCACACGACGAGACAGATGCTGAAGCTGAAGACGATGAAGACAAGAACGAAGAATATCTTTGCAAGATAGTACAAGTCGACATCGATGGCCGGGGAGGAGAAGTACCTGAGTACGCGGCCCTTTCGTACGTGTGGGGTGATACGGGAGCTAAGTCCCTGAATCTCAACTCGGAGAATGTGTCTCAACTCGACCAGCAAATCAACGATCAGAATGAAAAGGTGGCTCGAACGATATCTGATGCTATCAAGGTAGCCAAGCGCTTAGGGTTCCAATATCTTTGGGCAGACAGTCTTTGCGTCATCCAGAAGAGGAGCAATGACGACGGGGCAGAAGCGCGGGAGTCACAACTCAAACAGATGGACAGCATCTTTGGCCATGCCACAGTTGTTCTGATCGCCTCGGCAGGAAAGAATTCCGAAGCTGGTTTAGTGGGTGTATCCTCAACTCGCGAGCCAATGCAGATGGCCCGGGAAGTGAGACCGAACGTTAACGTCTTACTCCCCGTGGAGTATGATAAATCTTACGGCAAGTGGGATACACGAGGTTGGACCCTCCAAGAGAAGCTTCTCTCCAGAAGATTGCTTGTGTTTGGTGAGAAGTACGTTAGCTTCCATTGCAGACATGGCATCTTGCGCGAGGATGTGCCTGCGGCACATGCCGGCAAAGGCGCTGGACCCCCTCCAATTCCTTATCTCTCGATGCCACCAGACATTCATGCTCCTACGACCGCAATGGCCTGGAATGGAGTCCCCGTTCTCCTGAGATCCCCTTTTTTCAGCGAATATGCGAAGCTTCTGGAGCAATACACTAGTCGAGATATGACTAAGTCTAGTGATATCCTCGACGGTATGTATGGCCTTCTTAAGGTTCTGGAGCATATGAGAGGCTCACAGAGGCCGCCCGATGCTTGTGCCCTTACATATCTCCAAGGTACTGAACGAGGGGACCGCACTCTCTATGGACTTCCCGAGGAGTTCCTCGACCTTGCACTGCTTTGGCAGCCTCCAGCAGCGGTTGGGACGTATCTGACTAAAAGGGCGAACGATGTTCTCCCCAGCTGGTCATGGGCTGGGTGGGAGGTCAGTAAAGACCCTACCCATGGTGAAAAAGATGGAGAGTATGATGCCCATCCCGGCGTGCGATTCGAAGAGCCGTTCTGGGTCTCCGGCAATGACGACATGTCCCTCAGGAAATTCAGGGCGACCGGCAGCAATGCTGAGGAGCGTTTCAGACCATTGGTGATGTGGTACAAGTGGTCTGCCACGCGTCAAGAGAAGCCGCCCCCTCCGCCAAAAAAGTCGCATTTGAAATCCGATTCCGTGACGAGACTACAGAAGACGCTACCAGTAGTCTCACAGCTCGCAACTAGATCTCAGCTCGCAACAAAACCTCAACATGCTGAGCGCAGCCTAGCACCTGTGAATGGGTCCGGTGTAGGCATTGTGTGTGGTTCGCGCGATGTGGACTCACGAGCTTTGAAGAAAGCCCTCAAATTTCGTGGGGTCGACTATGAAGCCGCGGGTGCCCCTTCCATGCCGCCCGGAATTCGGCTAGATGACCGCCACCTAGTCTGTGAGACGATGGTGGCCACCTTTAGACTTCGTCAGAGGAGATCTAGGAAAGAGCCATTATGGAATCTGGTTGATGGAGTTGCGAAAATTGAGAAGGAGCTGCAGATTTTGGAAGCCGAGATCTTGGACGACAAAGAGAACGTCATCGGCCACATGATCCATACTGACCAACGAAAAACCATATCGGCCCATCCTTATGATTTTATCCTGCTCTCCGAATCGCAGTACTGGGGAACTGAGAAGAGAATTGACATCGTGGGCTACCCATTATACAATGTCATGACCGTTGAATGGGATACTATGGGTTGGTTTGCAACGAGAACCGGCTTAGGAAAGATATATAAGCCAGCGTGGGAAGCAAAGCATCCTAAAAAAAAGCGCGTAATCTTAAAATAGTTCACTAGTTATTATATATAGTATTAGTTCGCGCAATAATAATAACTAAACAAATAGGAAAATAACTTAATAGTTTTAAAGACGGGTTTTAAAAGTGAGATATATTAGCGGAATCTAATCTTAGTATATCGTCTTTCTAAAAGTTCTTATTTAAGCTTTTAGTTAATATTATTTAATAAGCTAAATAAGTTAAAATTATTAAATATTTAATTAAGTAGGCTAAATAAGCTTAGATTTAGCAAAATTTAGGGAAAATTTAGGAATTTTGTATACTTTTCATTTAGTATAAAATATGTTATAAAGAAAATGAAAAGTTTATTAAATATTATTATATTGATTAATAAGGGCTAAAGGGTTAGGCTTGAGAAGAAAATTTGAAATTTATAAATTTAAATACCAATTAGTTAATACTATTAATAAGAAATAACAAGGGATCTATATTATAGTTATTACTAAGTAAATTTAGTAATGCTTTGATTTAAATAGCGAATTAAGGCCGGCGATTCCCGATTGAATGGGTTCAAGGCGACGAGCTTCGCAAGGAAAAACTCAAGTTCGACTGGCTGCCATAACTCGACCAGAACGTTCTAGAAGAATTATTACCCGGTAAATGAGAAGCTTTTCAAACATCCGTGGTGATTGGCACACTGCCTGCGGTTTCTCAGGGTGCCTGGGACACAGCAAATGAGTGGAACGGGATCATGCTCGACTACAGATTCACCGACATGACTAGCCTTCTTGACTTCGCATTTATGTAGGAACGAGAGCATTTGGATATTATCGAAAGATTATTGCATGCTGTACCTGTTTGACGGAAACCAGTGACTTCATTATGAGCCTGCCATTGGCCTTACAACAGGGCCCTGAGAACTTCGAGCGTCACACGAACTCTTGCTATGTCTGACCATGTTGAACAGAAGTTGAAAGTTGCTGGAAGAAGTGCCTTGCCGTTATTGGCCGCGGGAGTGCCAATGGGCTTGCCGGGGTCCCAGCGACGGTATTTTGCTAGCATGCGAACAATGTCGCACTATTCTGTTTCATAATGAATGGTCCATCAAGCCTAGAAGTCTTGACTGACCGTACCCTCCTGGAAACCAGAGGACGCCCGCGATGAAGAAGTTCTTCATACGTGCCTTTAAAAAGACCTGGTGGAACCTAGAGACCAAGGCGGCTGTTAACCTTCGGCAGTAGTGCAATAGGCTCAAGGGGAGGAGATCAGCGAGGGCGTTGCGGAATGCCTTGTCTTAGCGGCCAGCGGCCTCTTAGATTGAGCCGCCAGAGAAAATTTTAAGGGATCTCTTTCTGCAGAGAACGCCGGCCAGGAAAAGAGTTATTAGACTAACCTTGCTTTAACAAATTGGGCGGAAATGGGACGGCCTGGGCGCATCCCAATGCTTTCTCTTGGCTCCCTGCGGGTAATGGTTCGTTGTGGGAACGTTTTTGTGCCGAATTTGAACGGTTAGATATACTAGTAGAACGCCTTCTCGCGGTGACTTAGCCAAGCAGACGATCGAAGCCTAGTAACCTCTACCTTTGTAGCGGGGTCTGCGAGGAAATCTACCTACTGGAATTATAGACATTGTAAATTTTGCACTGAATTCATACTTTGTGATGGTTTTAATAAGTAAGGTACTGATTCATTCATACTTTTCTCCTATGATTACATATTTCTTATTCACTCATAGGACTCAGGTGCTACCTTTTTTGGGATGCAACCTGAATCCAAGAGAGATGCATGTTTTGAGTAGGAAACACGATTGTGGGCTTGATTCATCATGTTTTACGAAACACGAAAGTGGGTTTAACCTTATATTATGTATTGCGAAACTAAGATAGCTCAAATATCATGACCAATGAGCTCATCCATGCTCCGTGACGGTAAATCCCAAGCTTTTCTCTCATGTTCAATCAATATATCCAAACTTGACAGGTTCGTGTGTTCTAGTTCTCCGTCCAAGGCCCAAGACCGCCAGAACCCAGAACCAAAGTAAGGAGCTTAACAAGTGTCGCTCTTGCCCTGACCGTTATCCTTGCAGCTGCCCCCGCAGAAGGTAACAAACTTGATAGCACCGCCCTCGCCGCCGAGGCAGTTGAAAATGGAGTAGTTGATGTGGTTGTAGTCAGTTGACTGACCAGCGACGAGGAGAGCCTGGAGGATCTGGTCGTTGTATCTCCCTGTGAATAGAATGATAAGCAAAGAGACCAAAAAAAGCTCCGTGAGAGATGCCCAAGTGACTGATGATTGACTAACCCTTCTTCAGTAGGCTGGAGCCGCAGTAGTTAAGAGGCGCATTGCAATTGTCGGCGGCAGCAAGAGGAGCTGCGACAAGGACAGCGATAGAGACGAGAACAGAGCTGAACTGCATGGTGAATAATATGAGTTTTACTCAAGGATATTCTTTGATCAATAGAAAGGTATTAGATGATGAGGTTGAGGATGAAGAAAGATTCATGTTATCGAGGCGGACAGCAATGTCCTTATATACTTGTGAAGAAGACCGGAACCATTACTTCTCCAATCTTCATTGGCTTCTTTACGTAGCTTAGCCGTCTGCTTTGCCTCTTCCATGACTGCATGCATGAAGCCAGCGTCCCGTCCCTATGACCCGAGGCCATCAGGAGATTTACCATTATCACTATCACGCTCCGTCTGCTTTGCCTCTTACGTGACTAAACCTGTATATCCGCCATAATATCCCTGTGAACTCATATACAGACCCACTATCATCACCATCATCCCTATCATCTTCGGTCTAGGCTTAAATAGGAAAATGCTCATTAGTACAGAACCTCATAGGCAGCGAATATCGCAACGTACTGGGTAACTCCTATCAACTCTGTCACCTTCCCAAAGAAAATAATTTTGAGAAATGCAGAGGCTATCATAGCTACTTTCTCCATGCTATTCAGTCTGTCCGCCCATTTTCCCTCTAACTTCAGGACATGATCAATAGGAAGGAAGTGTGCGAACATTACCAAGATCACTTGGTTACTGTGAACAAACCCGTGGAGTCTGTTCTTCCCCGGACAGAATCTCTCGGGCCCCGAAGTGTTCTGTTCGAAGATCAACCTGTGGGGCGGTTTCGTATATGCAGCTGCCCTAGGCAGTCTTTCATTGGGGCACAGCGTCTCCATTTTTTATGGAAAGCTACCTGGGTGCACTGGTGCGGTGGTTGGTCGCTGGTTGTTGTCAAAGTCCACTCTGAGCGGCGCAGGGCACCAACTCAAAACTGTGCCGCATGTTTCTTCGTGGCGGTCGTAGCCGAGCCAAGCTGGCTCATGGACAAGCGAAATTCAGGCTAAGTGATTGCTTACATCCGAGAGCCTCGTTCTTGCCGGTAGATCTGGCTTGTATCACCACACGAGATTGCGCTGTTATATTTCTCGCTGGCCTGACCGGCTTGAGACACCTTCCAGATGACCAAAGCCTGGTATGATAGGTAAGGGCTACATATATCTTCAATTCAAGGGCTGATCTATCCGATTGGCTGTGTTGTTCCGCGACAGGAACATAGGTTGTTGTTTAAAGTGAAAAGTAAGCTTTATTGGACAGCATCCATGTAAATGGCCCTGCAGGCTAGGGTCTTTTGCAAGAACCCCATTCCTTACGGATACTTCCGGGCGGGGGGGGGGGGTTCTATTTGACCCAATCATGCTGGCTCTTCGATACACTAGGAAGGCTTGGTCGCGTCGCCGATCGTCGCCCCGGTGGCACCGCACGGGAAGTCGATCTTTGCCGAGAACGGAAATTTGTTAGCGCAGATATCCTTGACGACGTTGAACCGTCTGGCTTACTGGCTGGCTCTGCAAGCCGACAGAGATGCTGCGAAAAGTTTGGCAGCACAGGACGTAAGCCGACAAACTTGTGCTGATATAAGAGCAGTAGCGTACGGTCCTGTACTCTCCAACTTGGGGAACTCGTAAGGTCTTGACGGTAATGTGGAAGGAGACCTGGTCGGCGACGACGTTGAGGGTAGAGGGGCTGATGGTGATGTGGGGGCTACGACAGATGTCCTAGCAGGCAAGACTACTATCTAGGGTATCGTGATCCTCGATCTGGCAAGATTTAAATATTGTTCTTCTATATCGGCTCCGCTGACTTTGATAAATTGTCGTGGAGGTTTCCTTTTTCCTGCCATATAACGGTCACTAAGGTGGTCGTCACTTCAAGCACGGTGGTACATGACGAAGCCCCATGTTTATTCACCTGTCTGAGTCATGCCACAATATAACGTCTGAAAAACTAAAAGTTGTGACTCGATTTAGCCCTCGAAATCTCGTCAAGTTTCCGGGCGGGAAAGGTGGTGGCCACGTGGGCAAGATTGGTGAGTTGGCTGAATTGGTGGCGAGACGTTGGAGCCTGGGGTAGCTGATCAAGGGTAAGGCTTACGGCCTTCATAGGAGTTTTCAACTGGTCAATTAGGCGGGACTTAAGAGCAGCCTCTTGAAGCTGCGGAGGTCCTTCATGGCGCACCTTGAAGTGGTACGACATCATTATCTATTACTTGTCTACAGAGTGGGTCCCGAGTGAAGAGAACATAAGCAAAAATATCTCGATAGATAGACTTCTAGTAAACTGAAAATTTGAGTCTCAGCCGCCAACACCCTCTTGGTTTATGTGGTTCATGTGCACATCGTACAGACCTTGATCTTCCGGTGGCTCTTACGGAATGGATGTTCGTGTAATTGGCTTGTCTACCTACGATGTACCTCATGCCGGGCGAGCCAGGTCCACCCAATGCGCAGATTGACTACGTTCATCTCTGCGAAAATGAGAGTTGAAAGAAGATCGAAGTAAGCGGAACGATGGAATATATGCTAAAGTAGACAGACCTCGATGTTAATTACTAATTCCAAGAATGGGATCACTTAAACCTTCAAGAAGGCTCGACCAATCATCGCGAGACAGTGCCAAACTTGCCCCAGGATTATTCCAGTCTTCAACAAACTTCATATGTCCTACGTCTTCATTTGTGACCATGCCGTCCAGCTCTGCGGATGATATGGAGTTGACTGCGATTCCATGAAAGATGCCATCTGTCGATTGAGGGCTGAACATTCCATCGTCGAACGGTAGCACACGATATCTCCTCATGACGTCACGAAGAGGCTCAATGAGGACCTCTGCCTGTTGTAGCTGTGCTTCGGCTTCATCCAAAATCTTCCACCCTGCGGCCAGCTCGGGACAGTTGTTCAAATGTATCGATCCCGGGGCATCTAGGCAAAAGTCGAAGAGGAGGACGACGAATGCCAAGTAAATATGGTGAAGAATAATGGACAGTCTTAATCGTGATGAATCAAACTCAACTTCTCTTTGCTGCAGCTGTTCCTCTAAGCGGATAATAAACCGGGCAGACTCGACGCAAGCTATTCGAGATGCCGCGTATGAGGCGCCGCGGGCGAGAAACGGGAGGTGGATCCTGCATCTTTGACCATGAACGAAAACTTGCAGCACGTACCGCTGGATTCTCATTCTCGCTTTATCATCCTTCATGCCTCCCGAGACATGGTCAAGTCGTAAGAACGCGGGAGTGTCATCCCAAAAGCGAACAAGCTGGGTGTCGAGCTCTTGTACCTGCTGATAACCGATGGCCTCTGGACTTAACCCTGCAAACTGCGTTTGTTCAAGCCATGCCCGGAAAACCTCGGCAGGGCGGATGCGCTGGAGTGCAAAAGACATACAAGTTGGCTGGTCCATCGGTCTTGTAATGATCTCCTTGTCTTCTATAAGATCGTCGTCGTCAATGTTCTTAGGCTTGTTTATGGCCATCTGCGAAGGGTTGATTAAACAAACGTTTCCGAGCGTGCCGGACAGTCCTGCAACTGTCCTGTATAATTCAAGTTGTTAGCGGGAAGGTTGACGCAAAGATGGCAAGTTGACTGACCAATCAGTAGAACAGAGATACCACCAAACTCTGCGTCCCATTTCTGCCTCAAGAAGTGAATACTTTGGCGTGACCAGGCTTAGAGGCCGCCTTGGCAAGTCGATACAATGTAGCCCGAACTCACGCGCCATAGCGGCAGCTCTTGAAAAGATGTTTCTGAATTTTACCGTGACGCCTTCGAGATTAACGATGGAATAGCATAGAAGGACCATTGCCTGTATAGCTTCGAGAGACACATGTGAGTCTCTATGAAGATGGTCTAAAACATCAAGCCCGGCTCTCTGCCACGACAGAGCTCGTAAATAAGCGTCAGACACGCTGCTGAAGAGGCATCTCGACATATCGCGAGTTCCCCACTGGCTAGTAGAATTGGCAAAGACAGCCAGCAGCAGCGCGATCGTTTCAATTGAGGGACATCGGCCTGTGTCAATAGCGCTATAAACCTCATCCGCTCGACGCTTTACGCTACATGCATGAGTGACTTGGTGAATAAAGGAGATGTCGTCGAGGTACTTGTCAATGAGTTGCCTAGCCTCTTCTCGGAGAGGCAACAATACGCATTTGACCGGCTCATGGGAATTGAAGCTGTCGTTCTGTGACATGAACGAACTTGGTTTCCTGATAAGTCGAATCTGGGCTGTGCCGAACAGAATAGGACTTGACACGTTGCAGTCCTTGGGGCTATGTTAGTCATAGAACACCAAAGATTCCTCAAGTCAGACTTTCCTTAGCCTTGGAGGCCATGCATTGCCTTTCTAGGATCAAAGCATCCGATAACATATATAAAATATCCGGCGAGGACGCTAGACCAGCGCGGGCGTCAGTCACAAGGCACCGTAATTGTGATGCTCCCGAGTTGCTGATTTTGGCGGCGAGAAGAGCTTCTAGTGATTCTAGACGTCGGATCAAATCTATACCAGTCTCTGGCGGCACGCTTGGTTATGTCTGCCCGATTACACCGCGTTGCGCATTTCCTTTCTGAACTGCGGGAGCTAGGCACTTCACCCCGCGAGCAGTGCAATTGAAGCACGGGAATTGGCGGTTGCATCGCAATTTTCGCGCTCGGCAGAGCTCGCACGACACAGCCTTTGAGCGACGCCGGGCTTGCTGACGTTTGCCTTGGTACATGTTGATTAGATTCAACTGGTGTTCGCGATGCTTTGCAATAAGAGGAAGAAGGCAGTGATCTCGGGTTTGAGTACATACGTCAAAGTCCGCGGACTTTGGGCGGATTTGGCGACTACCTTAGTTCGGCTCATCTCCGCGGAGATGAGTGGAGACATATATACCAAGCCCAGTCTAGATTGTCAATTCGAACTCATGGTGCAGATTTAGCGTGTTTGCGTTACCCCGAACTGACCCGTATCATTTTTTCAGTTACGACAAATTGCCACATCGCCTTGTTTCTTGATGATATTCTCAATAGCTCAAGTCGAGAGTCTACTTACTGCCCGGATCAGAAGTGAAATTGTTTCATGTAGTTGCGAACTTACATCAATGTTAATAAGGATACGTTGTCATACAATTGTTTGTAAAATCTGCTCGACCTACGAAATGATTCTCAAGGCGCATTTAGCCCTCGAGGTGCTTGCCTTGCAGATGAGGATGATCCAACGTCCAAAGAACGCACGTTATTGATCCTCACTCCTTTCCCACTTCCACAGTGAGTTTCTTACCAAACACTTTTCCATCTCGAAGCCTCGTGAGGGCTTCTCCTAGACCCTGCAAACCACCCTGCACGATTTCAATGGGGTGCGCGGTGAGCCATCCATTTGCCATGCCATATGTGAATAAGTGACTCATGAGAGATCCAAAGCAACGCTGCTCCTTACTGCCGGTATGAGCCAGTATGAACCAGCATGACGTTGATGTAATCCCCATCTACAAGGCCACAAACTCTGGCACCACCTTCGACAGTGGCAACACGAGGTCGATTACCGCTCAATCCCCACTGAGTGCCCAGTGCTTCGATGAGTATTCCTGTATATTCGGGAGCACCGTCTTCGCTGGTGGCAGCATCAAGTCCATACCAGGCAGGTCCGCTTCCAGCCTTGAAAATGACCGACTGGATGTCTGCGACCACCCTCTTGGTTGACTGGCGATAGTCAATTATGGCATCACATTGACCGAAGTCAAGAAGGCCGCGAATGTCTTCAGCTCAATTGCCTGCAGTCACAATGATCGGTCGGATATTGGAAGCTTTGGCAAGTTTTATGGCAAAAGCCCCGATAGCAGTCCCCACGCCATGGATAACGACAGGATTGCTTAGACTTCCTGGAGAAAGCCATCGTGATGGAAGTTGAAGAACATCTTACAAGCCAAAGCTTGCCACCAGGCAAGCCATTGGGATAGTCGCCGCCTAGTTGCTGAGGTTAGCAATTTGTGATATAGTTGTAACTTGGTCATCGATCGGAGGTATGACACGACGAAAACGTTGAGCTCACCTCGGGAAAGCTAATTTTATCCAGGATCATCAAGATAGTTGCGGCCGGGAAATTGCATGTTCAGAAAAAGAGCCACCAGGTGTTCCAATTTGATGCAGTGCTGCCACACGGTCCCCTGGTTTGAATTCAAACACATCTTCCCCAACTTGTTCGACACCGCTGGCAAAGTCGTCTCCCGATATCAAAGGATGTTGGATAGATGTAAGGTACTTTCCAGTCTTTAGAATTTGTGCCTGCATCTGTTAAGTAAGATACGGAGGCGTATGACACGTCATGGATAACTAACCAGACACAACCACTCGGACAAGGACTTCTCCGGCTTTGGGCACGGGGGTTGGTACATCGCGAATTTCGACCTGGATATCGGGAGTAATGACAGCTTCTTTCATGTTTGCATGTAAATAGGAGCCGAGCAAGTGGGATGGAGATCAACAAACCCAAGGAAAATGACCGATATGCAAAGTGGTGGGGGTTGTTGAATGGAGCCAAAAGTACCTGCGTAGCAATGCGAGAGCTCCGGGTTCCATTCACTGGGTTAAGATTGACGAGAATTCCTTACTAAAAGAGTCATATGGGCTTGATTTACATACTGGTCTTCTTGAGAAAGAATGCCGTAGTCCATAGCTACCCCTCTACAGTGGGTCGCAGTCATGTCCAGGCACCAATATCCTCGTCAAAAATCCCGAGGATTCCAAAGTAGCTTAAATTGGTCTCACAAGATCAGTTGGGGGCAGAAGATAGTTCGGCCTAGACCTCCGCGTCGACAAGCTGCAGGCCAACGGGGCTGCCCTTCCTGTCGTCTAGGAAAGACACGGTATTCAGCTGGCGAAGTAGATCCGCAGGTTGGTTAGAAAAAGAAATGTCTCCCTACTTGACTGTTACTGGCAAGACAAAAAAAAGGGACTCAACAACGGGTATTCGTGCTCCATCCCCGGACATTTATTACAGTCCTTGTACCCTTGCGCTAGCTCAATTTTCTACATACCTGGTGCCCTGGATTTCTCATGTGGCAGATGGCATCTGTTCACAAAATTGATGAACATAAAGAGGGCAATTACTCAATTTAACACCTAGGTAGCATAAGATACACGGACAGGAAATAATCGCTTGACTAGGGTAGAAATAAATCCGAGCGGAATACGCTTCGCGATCGATGTTGTTGGTGTCGGAAGTGCCTAGACCTGTGGGTGTCGTTCATATTACCGCAACTCAATGGTTCCCGCAAGCTGAATGTAGTATATAATCCCGAGTCATGTGTTCCTCGTCTGGTCAATGCTCAGCTGAAGTCGTGAATTTCAACGTCAAAGATCAGTTAATTAAGGCCAAGACCAATCGCCGCTATCAGTGACGATGCCAACACATCAGGCAGACTTCCAGTTACCTTGCCTCGGGACATTAACGAATGCGCAGCATACTTCTCATTCCATGATGAACAACAAGAGAAACAAATTACTCTCAACGCATCTTTGTCGGCTATCAATTTTGGAAACTCGTCGAAGTCAAGCCGCAGTACATAATCGGCTCCAGCCTGTCATACAATAGCTTCCCTGTCCTTACGAGCACAATAAAGCCTGTGTGCTTACCGGGAATATTTCTGGTTTAAAACGTGCTTGTGAGGAACGAGGATGGTCTTTATGATTCTGAAATGGAAACAGTGTTACTATTGAGCATGTAAACTTTAACGAGGCGTCTAATTATGCTCGACAAGCAGGTTTGCCGTTTCCCAACACATTTGATCAGAAGACTGACGAGGAGCAATTTATGGAGTTTGATTTTGATGCCTATTCCTTGGGTATTTTCGACACAGTCAAGCGTGCGAGCGTAAACGACGCTGGGTCAGAGTTTGTCATCTGGGTTGGAAAAGATGCGCTACCAGCAAAAGGTACGTGGCTTCGTAAAGCTATACAGAAAATCAGCTGACTGCACACTCTCTGCGAAAAGATCATATTATTATGGTTGAAGCAGGATAGAATCTGGCCAGCACCTATTAGATCATACTTTATACATTGCGCCCGAACATGCGAAAGTTGGTATATCAAGACAGACGGGCGCGGCGGCAATCAGTTGCTCCTGAGGTGGCTCAGACGGCTGCTATTGCGTCCAGGGCTGGGAAGTATCTCTAATCTGACAGGATCAAATGCTTTGAGTTATACTGTAGAGAGGTTGGGTTTACTATGTAATTACCCTCATCGAACAACTATTTGTAATCCTTGATGTGTTCTCCATCATTTCCTGCATCGATCTTATGATATTGGTAACTAATTTCTGGGACGTCAGGAACAGGCAGCGCAACCTCGGCCATCATCCTCAAAAGCCTCTTGAACAGGGGAGATTCCGGCCCTCCAATGAGATGCAGTGTGTTTTGGAGCGCGTAAAGCACATCCCTCGGACCCACCATCATGCTTCCGCCCTTGACTCGAGTGGAATCAAGCAGGTATCTGTTACAGGCCAACAGGTCGACCAGTGCGTCCGTAATACGGAATACCTTAAGCTCCTGTAAAAGCCCCCGCCTACCGCGTTAGATCCTAGTTAAGGACAACATCGCTCGTATTTCTATCATTTACATACCATGCCGAACCCGTGGGTCGTAATTGAGTCTCTGGAGACAGACGCGAAAAGTCGCATAGCCTTCTGGGCCACCAATGCAGGTTCCAATATTGAGAATGCAGCGTCACTTTCTCCGCGGCTGGACATCTGGATATGGCGAAGCGCGTATTGCCACCAAAGGATTTGGATCCAATTGCCCGTCATCAAGACGTTAACACGTTGTGTTTCCTGGAGCCTAGGCGCCACAGCTGCAATGTTGTCCATGGCTGACAGGGCATATTGAAGGTGGTCTACACTTTTAGCATCCATGTAGGCCCCTCTTCTATCCCCTGCCATGATGATATTGTTATCAAGTAGTGTGAAGAGCTGTGCCAAGAGTTGAAAAGATTGGTCAAGATCTCCAACCCCCGGAATGTGGAATTCCGAAGACGGCCAAGCCTGAATCGGCGAAAGTGACGTCGGAAAGCAATTCTGTACGCAAAAAGTCCTTGGTATAATGTCAGACTTTGCCATCGTTGGAAATACCAATGACCACAAGCAAACGGTTGACTCACTTCTCAGACACGAAGACCAGCCAGTAGATGCGGAGGACCAACTCTTTCTGCTCATCGGCCAGGCTGGCCAATGTTTCGGTGAGGTGCAAATCTTGGAGGTGTAGCTGTGCAATTGTCTCATGCAAGTATAGAATCGCGGTTCTTATTCTCCCAGTAATAGTGAAGTAGATATGCAGAAAAAATGCTGTCAACAAAGACTCGGTCGAGAAATCTTCCCGGTCAATGAACTGATCTCGCAGGCGCTGAGCGTGACGGGCAAAGCTTTCGGCAACGGAGCTGAGGTCTGTAGTTGCAGTGTCTTGCTCTGCTAAGCGTATCTGAGAAAGTCGCAATTGGGCGATGACCGTCGCACAGACAGCGCCAGCTAGTGCCCAGGCACCTCGATCACCCTGGGGATTATGGACGAGTCTGGACTTCAGATCTTCAATATTAAGAATGGGCCAGACGCAGGTAAGAGATTCTCGGAACTTGTCTAAATACTCGATGTATAGACGCAATGGCATCTGGCCGCTCTCGTGATCAACAACGGGGCTTACAAGTTCTTGTGAGATAGAACCAAGACTTTGAGATTGACGGATTTCGTTTTGATAGTGTGCCACCTTCTGGGATGTACATTGGCGAGGCCCTTTGGGACCTCGCTTTCGTGGAACTCTCAGAAAGGTACACTCTACAGAGTGTTTCTGGCACTCGAGACAAGGCGGATTACCTTGCATGCGACATCGTACCCGCCTTAAAGAGCAGCCATCGCATGGGTTTGCGGTGCGAGTCCTCCGCTTCTCCATAGTTGTTTGAAGATTTAACGAATGACAGAATTAACCAGCGTAGATGGAAGTCGAGGTAAGGTGAAGGAATGAGAGGACAAAGCTTGGCCAGCAGCAATTGAGCCGAGTAAATTAGACGATGCTCTTATGAGGGGGGGATTTCAGGTGATTTTGCTGCCCACCACTGCCGGCGGCAACGTAAAATAGGTAGCATGCCAGCTAGGTCAAAACTTTGCTAGAGATTTCCGCGAAGATTGCCCCGAAGGCGACAGTTAGACTTCGACACCACCATCATTCTCCCTATCAATTGCGTTTCTTGGCATTGCGCATGGATAGGAATTTGCGAGGGCGAAACTGGCAAGATGGTAGCCGTCTCAGGATTGCCGGCTTGCCGGCTTGCCGATAATTAATAAGTACATGAACCAACTTCAAGTGCAAGGCAACCAACCGCCAGCATGAACAAAATTTACCCTTGTCCGGTTTGCTATAACTTCAACATCTCTTGTGAAGTACGGAGTACACTATTCATATCTTAGACTTAGCTCCCAGCAATAGCTGAATTGATGGTTGAAAATCCAATTTCGTGAAGAGCAACGTTAGGACAAACAGAGCAGGCTTAATAGAGACCCCGTGTCACTCCGTGGTGGTTTAGTCTCTGAAATTCCCGAATATTGGGAAAACGATCAAAGCCAAAGTTGGAGTATAAAGCAGTTGCCGCCAATATCTGCCCCGCGTAAGATGGTTGAGGTTTACTTCACCTTGACAGCCTGTCCAGACTATGCCAGCCGTTTCGAGAGCGCGATGGTTTTTATGGGGCTTACAATTGGGAATCCTCGGGCTTGGTGGATTACACCTACACAGGCTATCTGGGTGTCTTGACCGCTTTTGTCATAGCGCGAGGCTCGTGAACAGGCTGGGCCGTAAGACGTGATTCAATCTGCGCGTTAGCCCGCGTATGTCACATCACTCAGGTCCATGGCCCGGGTGCGAGGGAATCTTACCTAAATTGGCATGCGACACAGTGCTCTTCTTTTCACCACATGACGAAATGGTCGGAGTGGGAGGAAGAAGTAAAGCCTGCGACCATTGTCGGCGTCGGCGTGTCAAGTGTGGTAAGGTCGCCCCCTCTCCTGTAGATACTCACCGGCATGCCCTCTAATCCAAGTGATACAGATCTTGCCGCGCCCGAGTGCGCAAGATGCGTCAAGGCGCAATTGAAATGCGGGGGCTGTCGCGGTCTCAGCTTCATCCAATACAACGGACACAGGGCCGCGACCCCCGGCACCGATGTCAGTGACATCTCTCAGGCAGCACCGATCATAGGATCAAAGACAACTGCGCACTCAGTTGTAGTGCCCCGGAGAAACGAGATCATTCCAACCCAGATTGGAAAACAATACTTGACGCTAGGTTCTATGGATGATGTTTACGCCTCTTACGCGATGAATCATCTACTGCACGAGAGCGAGGAGGTCGTGGTAAATCCCGACATAAATCGAACATTGACCAACAAGTGCTTTGTCGCGCTTTCCACGACGATTTTTGGCATCGATAAGAAAGAGCCGCATGTCTTGCAACATGGTCTTTATAGATACGGTACTGCTCTCAAGGCCCTCAACAGGGCGTTAAGTGACCCCCGGGAAAGTCGATCTTTCGACGTTCTAGAGGCCATCATAGTGATGGCCGTTTTCGAAGTGAGTGGCCCTACAAGGCTATACGACAGAATATGGCTCAAATCAATGGTTGTGGGTATTGCAGCTAACCTCAAATGGTCAAGATGATTGCTGGAAACCGCGAAGACGGATGGATAGAACACGCACGAGGCCTGGAAAGGCTTCTTGACTTCCGAGGACCGACATCGATGCAGCCATTGCCATGTTTGGCACTGTTCGAGAAGGCGCGGCCGTCAATGATTTTCGCTGCTCTTGTCACCCGCAAAACTACCATTCTTTCGAGTACTCTGTGGAAAGGTCTCCCGTGGTTGCAATACCCCGAACGGAAGAATCCACTCCAACTGCTTCTTGATATTGTTGCAGATTGCCCCGAACTATTTGTTTTGCGAGAGGATATCTTCGGTAAAGGTGAAGGGCTTCCTCGCAATTCAGCGCTGATATCTCTGCTTGAAATGGCACAAAAGGTTCTAAACGATCTCGAGACATGGGAGAATTGCTGGTCATCCACTGAGTTGGATCAGTATGATCTAGTCCCAGCGCCGGCCGCTACTACACCAATGCGCTCCGGATACGGCAGGTCCAGTGAGCCAGTTTGGGACACCGTTTTTGAATTTCACAGTCTGTATCATGCCAGTACCTTGACACTGTTTCACGGGACCTTGATCTTACTATTACTTCTGATTCATGGTTTGCAGCTTGCGCTACGAGATCCAGAAGGTCATAGTCCCGAACCTGGGCCTGTACCAATCAGGATACATGAATCTGGCATCCTTATATGCCGCAGTGTGGACTACCATCTTGATAAACTGCGAAACATTGCGAGTTCATCCATTCTATTCCCAATAAGAATGGCGTACGAGGCCGTAGGCAAGTCGGACGAAGTCCTTGGGCTGTGGCTAATGTTCCAACTCAGGCACATTTCGTCCAGCTCTAGCGGTAGATGGGCCATGGCTCGACACGTACTCCGCTTGAACCCTGTCTCGAACATCACGTCAGATAGACTCATACGTGACTACTCAAATTGATAACTTCGATGACATCCATTATATAGGTATTGAGGGAACTCCTTGCCGCTGCCACAATGCTTCTAGTCTGTCCAAGACTCTATCAATAGAAACTCCATCTTCTCTGACTTCTTCCGGTCTTTTGCCTGACTCTTGGTCATTTTGTCTGCGCGCCTTGAATTGGCTTCTTTCTCATGTTCGTCCAATCTCTGACATTTCTTCTCAGCTTTCCTCATTTTCTTTTCTTCCTTCCTCTTGATTTTTTTGGACTCAAGTGGCTCTTTCTTGTCTAATTTCTCGGCGGCTTTCCTTTCAGCCTTTTCCATCTTTCGTTGGTTCCTCTCGTACTGCTTCTCCAATTTCGGCACCTTTTTGTGGGTAAGGCTGCCATCTAAACATTGAACAGATTCGAATTTATCGAGCGGCTGATCCTGGTTGCTGTTCCTGATTTTGCTTCTTTTCCTTTCTCTCTGCTTTTCTTTCTTCTTAACAGCCCGCTCAATCTGTTTTTCGGTCATTCTGTCAACGATATTTCTTTCCTTGCTAGGTGGCGGGACTTCAAAGCTAAGAGGGGCGACATATGGAGCAAGAGTCCGCATTCGGCGGTCTTGCAAACTCATCTCATATGTCTCTGGTGTGGTAGGCCTATGGATGGAGACGGTCAGAAGGATGGCACTTTTGCGCTGAATAAAGTGACTCTTACCAGAGCTCTGGGAGTCTCTCACCGCATCCCACTCTGGCGGCCAGAGTTTTGGATTTACATATCGACGCCTTGAGGCCTCGAGGCTCGAAGTAGTCACGGTTGACCTTATCTAGAAACAGCTTGGTCCGAATAATTCGAGTAGCAGCTGTCCCTAGTCCTGCAGTCACATTTGCTATGCCTCCTGCCAATTGTGCCCAATGATAGGGTCTAGGAAAAAAAGTCAGCTTCATTTAGAGCGTCGTGTGAGGAACGTGAAAATCGCTTACACGAGCCCTGCAATGCTACCCGCTGTGTTTAACATCGCCAAAGGAGCAGGCGGGCCTTGAGCCACGGTCAAATTGTCAAGGAATGCCACAAAGTCTTCTGCGTAAATCCCATGAGCCTGCAGAACTGGACTATATGATCTCGTGAAAGGCAATGGGACTTTGAGAGGTCCAGCAAAGTCTACTCTAGGGATAACTACTGGTTTCTTTAAGTCATCAGTATCAGGCAGGACCCAGCAGTCTGACAGGGAGAGGAAATTTGCTTACTTCGAGCAGGCACTGCGAGCGCCTCGGATCTCTGGGCTCTTGAGGTATCCAGCTTGTTTTGGGCTGAATCTCATATTCCTCATCTCGAAGAGAGGAATGCAAAGATACCATATCCATAGAAAGTGCTGCCGAGGATGGCGAGCCAGAAGATACGGAGTTAGAGGATGACGAGTTTGCGGACAGTCTCCGGACATTATCTGATTCAACGACGGAATAAGAAGGGGGTGCAGTACCATGAACGGCGTTCATTGTGGGGAAATCACTTGAGCCTAGCTGTGTATTGCCCATTTTGGACGTTGATGTATGCAAGTGTGACTGACGTTCGTGTCTTGTCGGATTAAATGATGTGTCTGCTTAGAGAACTTGATGTGAGGACTTCCAGTTTGGGCCCGAGTTATTTATAACATCACGACAGGAGAGGCTGGTGATGGAAGTTTCGGAAGGCCACAGGTAACAGACGGAAGATTGTAGTAAACGATACCTAATTCGGTTCATTCCTCGAGATGACGACTGTTTCTGTCTAGATCTTCAGCTACTCTAGATTCCATATTCGTGTACTAGACGGTCGGAAAGGCGCCATCGACAGTGTGATGCAGAGGACCACCATTCTTCGATATCCTTCGCCATGATTTACAAGATGACCCGGGCTGCCGATCAATTACTAGATATGGCGCAATCCTCGAGGCACTAAGAATCCCCGCTAATCCCCACCCCTTCCCGACGATCAGTCATCGACCATACTCTATTAGGACCATTCCTCGAGATTGCCAGTTGTTGAAAGCGTGCGAACTGCAGAGTTGACCAAACACCTTCAAGGGCGGGACACTACTCACTTTTGCTCTAACACCTTTCTACAGGCGGGCACTAATTACTTTTGCTATCATCACTTGTAGCTTATCTATTCCGTCAAGCATTAGGTAACGTCAAGGTGTTACACCTTGAGTATCCTTTGTCGCTGACCTCGATTGGGGCTTTTCAACTGACCGTAGGAGAAGGAAACGAGGCAGCTTTGAAACAGGACACGCGGAAATGATACGTATTTAGCGCTGTGCCTCACACGAGGCACATGGCTCCATGTTCAACGGTATTTAGCACTCGATTCGACATTCGCATGATCACGCAGTAGCACATTTCCCAAGTTCTACCTCCGCTCGGATCAATGGAACCGTCCTAGACCTCATGGGAAAACACAAGCGGCAAGAAATGCTCATGCTTTCGATTGGATTTCAGCTAGCAACACGCACCAAGATACCACGACTTGTCTTCATTCATTTTTCACTAGTCGTGCTAGTACCCTCGTCCTCCCACGTCACAGCTATTGGTTCGTGGTTTCCCGAGAACTTCTGACCTGCGAACCAAAGCTCGAATCGCAAATCCGCAGGCGCAACAATGACTCGTATATCGAATTGGCATATATAGAACTTGAAGCCTCGGGAGAAACACGTGCCTCGCTTCTCTTTGAGTATGAGTTGCTCCTGCTGCACGCCCGTGAGGTTGCTCTTAACTTCGCAAAGCTTGAATGCTCCAGCTAAGTATGCACAAAATCAGTCATGTCCTCTCCTCTAAATGTTGTCAATGCTGCGTTGTACAGTTTGCAGACTTACCATGCTTCATACTGCTCGGCAAAAAGGATACTTCATTGTGGGAGGTCACGATCTTAGCGTCCCATGACCTGGTTGTCTCGGCTGCTTTGAGACGAATATCAAATGATTTCACTAACGGCTTCGCTGGATTGATGACATCCCCCTGTGGTTGTGTCAGTGAGCTTACCGGTATTATCATGGGGTCAAGGGACTTACCTTTCGAATGAGCCACTCTATTTGGTTGATTGCCCACTTTTGCTTGTGTTCAAACTGGTCGTCAACAATATCCTCGTTAAAGTGCTTGGCTGGCGAGTAGATCTCTCGAACAATGATCCCGTAGCTAGCTCGCGCTATTCGAGTCGCCAACACCGCCAGATTACCAGATATCATCTTCTGCTGGTGATCAAGGAGTAGGCCGCGCACGACAACGAGTTGTGGGTCCTGGCAAGGGATGACTGCGATCTGGCTCGCATTCGGATGTGGGTAGCTGGTGAACTGTTGCTGGAGCCTATCTCGAACATATGCCGAACTCCCGAGGCCACCGGACAGAATCATATGATCCTATTCATGTCAGAATTCACATCTTGTTCAGTATCATAGTCATGCGGGACATACGACTTGCTGAGGCCGGTCATTTACGCCCAACCAATCCAACTGCTCCTTGATTCTCCTCATTATGCCTTCGATTTGAACCTCAAACAAGGAGGTGATCTCTTGCCTGAATTCTGTCAGTCAAGATGAAAATTTGACAGCTAGTTAACCAAGTTACTTAGTGAATGCCATCCTCCCGTTTTCAACCCGCAATCCAGGATGGCTAAAGTCATGCGAAACACCATCCATCTGGATTCTGTAGATGGACTGCATGTAGGCTCTCTCTCCAAACTTGTGTTTCACTGTCCTGAAATGGTGGCTCCTTGCCATTCTATTGGCGCAATCGGTGGGCAGTCGATCGTGGGCATCAGGGCAGATGGAGAGTCGCTGAGCTGCCAATCGAACGAATGCCCTATCAATGAGGGAGGCACCAATGCCAACCCCCCTCACAGCTGCCATTTGCGACATTTGTGGGAAATCACCATCAGTTGATGTAATTTGCATCAAGGCTAGGTCAGTAGTTCCACCGCCTGCGTCAACCGTTAAAAAGAGATTTCCCAATCGAAACTCCACGGGGCTCGTCTTCAGAGTTGCGACTGCAGCTGCTTCTGCCTCCGTTAGATCAAGCTGTGCCATATGGCATGGTCCTTCGATGCCAAATCCCGCATCGCGTATTGCATTCTTGAATGCGTTCACGACTCCCATTTTAGTCCATGTAGTCGGAGCGCTAAACAAGAAGGTAACTGTCATACTTGCCCAACCACCAAAATGACGTCGACCGCACTGAGTTTCTATGCTCTCTTTGATGTGTCCATATACTTGTTTTAAGTAGTCCGTAATGTATCTTTGCGCGTCAGAAGTGCTGCGTGGAACATGTTCCAGGCCTTGTTTCTGCGCTGCCGCCAACGTATCATCGTCGAGAAAGATCTTGAAGAACTCCCGCCGAGTCTTGCCGGGAACATTTTCGTCATCGTCTGCGCACATGAAACCCCACGAAGAGATACTGCCATCAGCATTGTAGATGATGGTTGTCGGGACTTTTCTTTCTCCCCGATCACCGCTCCCTGGCCAGTCGTTAATGACTTGGATGGGTGTCCTGGGTGTCATCCAGGCAACCCCTTAGATATCAGTTAGCATATTCTATGAGACCAATAGATGAGCAACTTACCAGTGTAAGTGGTGCCGAGGTCAATAGACACAAGAATGTCGGGTTTGGCAGCCATTGTAAGAGCAGAACCTGTTCGATGTGCATAAGGTAAGGTACGTAGGTCAAGCTGATCTCTAATTACTGCGCTGGGACCCCTCTCTCGAGGAAGAATGGCGAGGCAAGTCTCACGGCGGAAGCCCTCTTTGATTGAAACTCATGGTTCATACCTTTCATGGTCCAAGGGGGATGGCGCGGGGCTAGTAGTTGGAAACCAGGAAGGCGCGTGTTGGATGTCCTTATCCACCGCCTGATATTCTCCCCACTTGGCTTGCATCCATCCCCGGCCCAGGTAGGAAGGCTGGCTGCATGTAGGTGGCCTAGTCAACTTGCGCCTTCGATGCCTTCGGGCAACCCAGACCCAACGTCCGAGAAAACAGCTTCCGCAGTCTGCCTGAAACCAATTTAATGCAGCCAGATTGCACAAGCGTTGAATTCTGCTGCAGACCGCCGCGCTATCTCGAGGCCCCAGAGATGTGGCGATTTAATGACCCTACCGTCCGTCTCCTGGTACCGTGAGGCTTCTCCAGTTGGCTGAGCTTGATGATTGACCACCGGAAAGTAGGTGATTTACAAGGGATGCAAATAAGGCAATTCCGCCTCCTACCACCCTGCCAGCTTCTGCGTCTCAGCCTGCCTCCCAACTTCTCTATCTTCACACCCAACCACCGAGTGGGCTGTTCACCTGAAATGGCAAGTATTGCGGTCTCAGTGTAAGACGAGGACTTTTGTGACTCTGCGTGTGGGGGGGTCATCTCTTTTTAAGCGTAACGATGAAGAAATATTGTGTGTTGATTTCAGACCGTATTTGAGCTTGCAAAGCCCACTTCACCGCCGTCGCACGTCTGCCTACTCTTAACCTCCTCCATTTGTCTCAATACGGGGACAGTCTGTTCTCAGCAGTCAAGATGTCTGATTCTTCCACCACGCAAAACTCAGCTGCGGCGGCTGGTAGCCTTTCAGGAAGTATAGCATCTGCTACCTCATCAACCTTTCCAGCCTCAGTTGGATCAAGCCAGCTTTCAACGCCGACTCTCAGCACACCTGCTCTGCCACTTGCAGAAATCACCTTAACATTATCTGGGGCCCAGCCTGGTATTGACAGAGGCACACCAACGCAAGTAGCCAACACAATTTTCACGGCTACCCCATACACAAATGCAGCTGCACAAGCACCCATCGCAGTGGCGGTTACTATCTTTGAGTATCCTTTAGCTCATACTACTAGCATCAAGCCAGCGACCAATTCAAGTGCTTCGACGCATTGTCCTCGTCCATCTTCGACCGGTATATCTACTGGGACTATCGCCGGGGCATCAGTAGGTTGTCTGCTGGGCGGCCTTCTGATCGGGGCAATTGTGGCACTAGCGATTTTGCGTCGAAAGCACCAGAAAGATGAAAAGAATATCAAGAAGGAGAATTTCGTGCTGACAACGGAGTCAAAGATTTACGGAGAGCCTAGTTCTGGCCAGTCAAGTAAGGATGTTGACCTCAGCCAATTCCTCCTAGATGCAACTCCCGACAAGGAAATCGGCGACGAATTCCGTTCACTAAGCGAACTGGTACGGTCTCACATTGAGAGTCATTACCATCTACAACCATTGCACTCTTCGGCTTCACTAGTTCCGAGCATTCGCGACTTGGAATTGCCCCAGACTCCAGGGTCAACTCCCGAAAGCGTGGCCGCTATCTGTGCCAATCCGGTCAGTCGACAAGTCGGGCTTCAGCACGTTGTTTCCACGGCCATTCTCAACAGTATCGACTTCCCCTCAGGGGGCCGATTTTCTGTGCTTCCCGAACCAGTGACAAACTTTCTCCGCTCCGTCCCAAGGGATACCCAATACGACAACTCTAGTGGTGAGAATTTGATAGCTCCAGGCCTCCCAGATCACTGAGATTTGCAAAGCTAACATTGGTAACTAGCGAAAATGCTCGCGTTGTCACAATGGCGTAAATTATCGGCGTTTCTACTGCACCCAAGTCGCAACCAACGGACTCCACTTTCAATGCCAGACTCGGCGGCAGCTCAGCATGCTGCTGATCTCACCGCAGCTCTTCAGGTCTTCCTTAGGCCTTTCGTTCCTGCAGACCAGACCAGACTAGAGGAGCAAACGGAACACCTCCAGGCGGTCATTCTGGAATGTGCAAAGTTTGGTTGGTTGGTCATGTCACAACCCAGCGACTGGCATTTCAAGTATGGCCAGGGTGGAAGAAACTCGGGGGTCCGGATGCTCGTCGTTTTTCCTGGTCTTGATAAGTTAAGTGGCAAGGATGGAAAGTTGTATCGGTCACCTCATCAGGTCGTGGCGCCTGTGGTAACACAAGTTTAGGCAGTTAGATTTTGGTCCGGTTGGCTGCAGACTGTATCGACACAAGCAAGCTACTTACTTCAAGTCAGTAACATGACTCAAACTAACATGCAGGCGGGGAAAATTACAAAAGGACCCTGTAGTGTGGCAAGTTGTAAGATGAAGATGTGGATATTGACTGTGTGAGCTATCTTCAGCTCAGCCTGCTCTACCCCTAGAAAAGTCGTGCCGTCACATTGACCCTGGTGAAACCCCATGGACTGTTAGGCGCTAAGACTGTGCTGTTGGTTCAAAATGTGTTGCTTTTTTTTCCCCCAAGCACCAATCAGGCTGTTCATCACATTCCCAAGAGAGAAAGCCCAACCGCCAATTACTGTGCCACATGCATGTTGGCTCTCCGTGAGTGCATCTACCCACCCCACCCCCTTCACCACGGCTCAGATAGCCTAGCTAGCCTTTAACTCCGTATTCAGCCCCAGCCTGATGGTTCATATTTAGGCACTTGCAGATTGAAGATAGGGGCTCGTCTTGTTGCATCCTATGATGCCACAGCGGAGTGTCCTACTTAAGTCGGTTAGTGACTACTGATTGCCCAGGTTCACAGACGACACATAGGCAAGTGAGGAAGCCTTCTGGGTAACATCACCGAATCCCCTCCAACGCAAACGCAGAATATCCTCGCGAGAAGCATGATACCATGTACTTGAAGGCGGTGGGTTCATACCGCAGCCTGCTTGCTATGGCGAAAGCTTGGCCCCAGCAATCAATACGCCCCCTCCAAAATTAGGACATGCACTATGCATTTGCTTACTTTGTGCTGCTAGACAAGAAAACCTGGGTCGCGTCCGCTAGGTCCATGATCACGGTCGAGCTCGGTACAGAGCTCCTTCTGTTATCTCAATTATGCACATTGTCTCGCTGATGTGGTGTTGAAGTGGCAAGAAACACAGTCTATGGTAACCCTCCTGGTTCTGTTGCTTTCGTGTTAGCTTTTCTAAGGCGTCTTTTTGGATCATGATTTGCTACATCTTCAACAGCTTGCTGATTTGACATTCGGTTGAGTGCATGCAAAGTTAAGCACTGGCGTTTCTCTATGGATCCCCTCAGCGCTCTACGTGCAACTTACTACATTGTTCTCTTTGGTATCGAACTGGATCAAGTCCCACAAGAAGTCAGAAACAGCCTAGAACTTGTGCGTACCTGCCACACCGACTTGCAGTATCTTATCGAAATCCGCAATGAGCTGCTGCCCCTTCTTCAGAGACGCCCCAAAGTCCTTGAGCGTGTCAACAGCATCGTCGAAACAACACACAAGGGCTTGGTCGAGGTCTGTGAGATCGTGGAAAAGAGTCGCCCTCGGCTGAACAATGGAAGGACCCCCTTCAGGAGTAGGCTGTCCTGGATTCTTTTCGACTCCGCACAGTTCAAAGCACAAAGACCGGTCATCAGTCGTCATCATGCTTCCGTTCTCGCAGAATTGAATTTCCTGCGACAGATTGCTCTGCTTGCGCCAACCCCGGAACGCGGTAATGGCGATGATGATGCCTCCAAGAAACCGACGATGTTGTTTGACAACGTTGCACTCTTGGAGGACTTGATCGGGAAGGCCAATACCTCAGGTACCGTACCCACTGTACCCCTTTGTGAACTTAATCCACCATGTATATTGACGTTGGCTCAGGATCCGTGACCTCATTACCGGCCTACTCAAGCGATATCAACCCCCCCGAGCAGCGTCAACCAGCCGATTCAATAACAAGTCAGGCCTTCTTTGCTTTATCCTCCGGCCCTTCTACTGTGTACTCGGCTCTATCTCCTCTGCCTGTACCTACAGATTGTCCTAAACTCCCTTCCGACTTCCTTTCTTCCTCTTTGTCGAAGATTGACATACCCGAGCACCTCCTCGACCAACATCAAGATGCGCCGAGTATACTTGGATATGAGGAAACAGGAGGCGAAGTCCTAGATTTGTCTGATGGAGACGGAATTTCTCTTTTGTTCGGAGATTATGCGAACATGACACCACTTTTATCATCAACGCCCTCTGTGTCGAGCGCATCTACATCCATGTCACCGTGGTCTCCTGGTGCTGAGCATCTCCATCGACCAGTCTCCGTGGTGTCTTCCTTGTCGTCTATGCGTGGAACACCCGGGTTTTCCAACTCGGAGACCACATTGGTAGTTCGATCCACCTCGGCAATGTCTTTGGAAAATACAGCCCAGAGGCAACAACCGCCGTCATTCCGTAAACAACATCAATCTGAGGAGTTCGATCATCGGAACCTTGACAGTCCGCCTGTTCCGGGCATGATTCAGGACTTAACATCACCACGAAGCACTTCATCTCCCTCTTCGGCTTCCACGCCTATCTCATCTTCAGCACGTCAGTTCCGCTCGTGGTCGTCGCCATCGTTTTCACAACTAGGTCGACACAGACGTAAAGGCCCCCACCAGTCCAACCCTCCAGATGCGTCATCATCGCCAGATGTAGGAAAGAACCCCAAGGTTGCATATCCTGCTTCCTTTCCTCTAGATGCTACGGATGATCAAAACGCCGTCTCAAATGGCCGCTTTCGCGCATATAGTCCAATATATCGCAACGAGGATGTCACCAGTCATCTCAACTCTCCATCTCAGCCTCGTCGGCTACAAGACCAGGCATTCAATACAGACTTTACGCACGAACAGCAATCATTGCCGTCACGGACCCATCTCGCTTGTCACGCCCAAGAGAGGGCTCCTCATCCGCTTTCGCAGGCTATTTCTATCAATTCTCTGCGGGGTAGCCATGTATCACAATTCCAGGATAATGTAGTACCCCAGCGAGAGTCTGAGCAAGTTCAAGTTTTCGAGATGCTGGGTTCGATTCCAAGCTTGGATCAATTCACCAGCTATCAACGTCCAAGTAATCAGAGAGACTTCATTGATGAGGCGTCTTCCATGACCAACCGGGGGAAGGAGGGCCCAAGTTCTGTTCCTTCCGACTCGCGGATATTCGAGCTGCCGTAAGCCTACAAGCAAGCACCGATCGAAATGCCTAGGAGGAGGCAATCAGATGGAATTGAACCTTTCAGTCTTGAAAACGTATAGCAGTGACAGCCAGTGTCTTTTCGGCGGAGACAAGTGACGAAAACAATGCCCAATGCCAGTGTTCATACCTTCAATAATTACGATTGTGATGCTTGAGACTCACTTGGATGAAAGGTGGAATTGAGCAGTAGATCTTGTCATCTGCTCAGTTGTTTGCGAGGCAGTCTGAGGTGGAAATGTGTCAAGGACACATGAGCATGGTGAAGATAGATCTGGCACACTATCACGAACATCGCGGGTCTTTTGCGCATCGGATCGTATGGTCATTGAAGAGGCAAAGTAAGTCAATTCACGTGTCATGATTCGTATCTAGTTCATGGGGGATTAGTTTATTAAGTACAACTTCGTGGCACTCTTGTTTGGTATCTCGGTTTGGTGTATGTCCTTCCCCTGGGGCCTGGTCGACTTCGCCCTTCACCTTTGTACACAGATCTTCCCAGTCATCAATGGAATTCCAGTAACACTTATGCAGCAACAGCCTCCTCCTTGGGCTTGGCTTCCTCCACTGCAGGCTCGGCGGCGGGCTTGTCGCCATTAACGCTAGCAGCGTTTGTGAGCTCCTCACGCAGCTTCTGCAGTTCGGCGGCGTGCTTCGCCTCGGCGGCAGCCAGATCCTTCTTGGAGTCCTCGAGGTCCTTCGTCAATGAGTCAACAGCAGAGGTCGACTTCTCGGCCTTCTCCTGCCAGCTGGCAGCTTCCCTCTTAGCGCTCTCCAACTCAGTAGATGCGTCCTTCTTGACGCTCTCGCTAGACTTCTCAAGGTCAGCATACTTGCTCTGCAAGTCCGCCAGCTCCTTGCTCAAACGCGAGGACTCCTCGGCTGACTCGGTCTTCGTCTTGTCGTGAGTTTGCTGCAGAGCGGCATGCTGCTCTTCGAGATCAGAGAGAGACTTCTTTGTGGTAGTGTGCTCCGCCTCAATATCGGCCTTGGCCTTCTCGTGGGACTCCTGCTCTGACTTGTGCTTGGTCTCGGCATCGGCCAGGCTCTGCCTGATGGAGGCGAGCTCAGATCCAGCATCGGATTGTGCCTTGTCGTGCGACTCCTGGAGAGCCTTGTACTTCTCCTCCCACTCCGCAACGCTCTTCTTCGCGGCCTCGACTTCAGCGCTAGACTCGGCTTGGGCCTTCTCCTGTGCTTGCTTGAGGACGTTGAACTTCTCCTCCCACTCCGTCACGCTCTTCTTCGCGGCATCAATCTCGGCACTGAAGTCAGACGCAGCCTTCTCCTGGGCCTGCTGCAAGGTGGTGTACTTCTCCTCCCACTCGGCAGCAGTCTTCTTGGCGGCGTCAACTTCAGCGCTGCTTTCAGACTGGGCTTTCTCCTGTGTCTGCTTGAGAGCGTTGAACTTCTCTTCCCACTCTGCAACACTCTTCTTGGTAGCCTCCAACTCTGCGCTGGATTCCGACTGGGTCTGTGCTTGCGCCTCCTGCAGCGTCTTGTACTTTTCCTCGGACTCGGCTAAGCTCTTCTTCACGGATTCCAACTCTGCGGTGGCAGCGGATTGCGTTTCCTTCTGAGTCTTTTCCAAGCCACTGTACTTTTCCTCCCATTCGGAAACGCCCTTCTTGGCAGCCGCCAGTTCGGCGTCATGAATCTCCTGTAACTTGGTGTACTTCTCTTCGGACTCAGCCAGAGACTTCTTTGCAGACTCAAGCTCGGTACCAGAGGCAGACTGAGCATCCTTGTGCGACTGCTCCAGCTTGTTGTATTTGTCCTCCCACTCGGCAACACTCTTCTTGGCTGACTCGAGCTCCGCCGCGCTCGACTCCTGCAGCTTCGCGTACTTGTCTTCGCTCTGAGCGAGGGAGCTCTTGGCAGTCGCCAAGTCTGCATCCGCCTCAGCCTTGATCTTGTCGTTGGTTTGCTGGAGAGCAGTAAGCTTCTCCTGGGCGTCGGCAAGCTCCTTCTGAGTGGACGACAAGACGGATGCGGAGTCGGACTTGAGGCCATCGAGGGTCTGTTGAAGGCTGGCAACCTTGTCCTGCGCTTCGGCGAGCTCCTTCTTGGTGGCAGCGACCTGCTCCTCGGAACCGATCTTGAGCTTGTTGTGGTTATCCTCGAGCTCGACAAACTTTGTCTGGGCGTCGAGCAGCTCCTTCTTGGCGGCCTCGAGGTCCGCATCAGCTTCCGTCTTACGTTGGTCAAGGGTCAACTGGAGAGCGACAAGCTTTTCTTGGGCATCGGTGAGGTCCTTCTGGGCGGCAGATACGTTGGCGCTGGAACCGCTCTGGAGATCGTCGTGGGTTTTCTGGAGAGCGGTGAACTTTTCTTGGGCATCGCTCAACTCCTTCTTGGCAGCGGCGAGATCGGAATCGGTGTCGGCCTTGAGCTTGTCGAGAGCCTCCTGAAGGGCGGTGTATTTGCTGCCGGCGGTGGCGAGCTCGGCTTCGGTGTCGGACTTGAGCTTGGAGTGCTGGCCTTCGAGGTCGGAAAGTTTGCCCTCGAGGGTGGTAACGGCAGCAACCTTTTCGCCGAGGGACTTGTTCGCGGACTCGGCCTCGGCCTTGATCTTGTCGAGGGTCTCCTGCAAGGTGAATCGGGCCTGGTCGGCATCGGTCAGGCGCTCCTGGAGGGCCTTGAGCTCGTCGCGGAGGGAGACTTCGAGGGTCTCGCGCTCCTTCTTGGCCTCGGCCAGCTGCTCCTTCACGGCGGCAAGATCATCCTCAAGAGCCTTCTTCTCCTGCTGAACCTTATCGAGCTGCTCCTGGAGAGCGGCAAGCTTCTTGTTCGCGTTGTCGAGCTCCTGGGCGCGCTGGGTGTTGGCGTCGCCGTTGGCCTGAAGGTGGTGGTTGATCTTGTCGTTGCTGGTGGCAAGCTCGGACTCGAGAGTGGCGATGCGAGATTTGTTCTCTTGCTTGGTTGATGTCAATTGGGCATCGAGCTCCTGAATCTTTTTGCGCAAGTCTTCGGCCTCCTCGGAAAGGGAGGTGTACTGCTTCTCCTTCTTGGAAAGGTCCTCCTCGAGGACAGTGATGGTCTCCTCACGGTCGGCAAGCTTCTGCTCGAGCTCTGCAGCAGAGCCCTCAAGCTGGTGACCGTTGCTGGGTGAGAAGACTGAGACAACGTTGCCCATGATGGAGAATTCTCGTCAGACTGAACTAAGGGGAAGGGGGGCCTGTTGTCGGTTCAGTCGAGGGAAGGTAGAGAGGCGGGCAGGGCAGTTGATGGGATAAGATTGGTTAATGGTTAAAGATTTTGGGGGAAAGGCGCAGTGCAGGCAAGACCCATGAACGTCGGTGAGTCGACTTTCCTCGAGGTTTCCTTGGGGAGTGAGGCAACGGTGAGGAGTAGGAGGAGGAGGAGTACGGGATAGTGGTACCGGGAGGGAATTGTCGGTAAAAGGTGAGGCAAGGTAAACAAAGAAAGGCGGTCAAGGGGATTTTCTGCACAGCATAGCACCTGCCTGGCCAGGGTGCTCTTTTTTTTTTTTTCTACATGGCAATCGCTCTTTCTGTATTTTTTTTTGGGCCGTTATCGTGGGTCACTGATTTTGCACCTGCTGCTTCACTCGTTCATGTGGTGATGGAAATGAGCGACCTGCTTTCTAAGTGGCTGGACCCCTGCTTTGGACCCTCCAAATTATTGGCAGCCCGGCCGTTGGGCCCACTCAAGCTATTCTAATTGGGTGTAGTGGCGGCATCCCCATGGATGTACTATCTAGCAGGCCACAGTGCACAAAGATACCTCTGCATGGCCTGAGGTCACACTTTGGGCGCTCAGGGACCTGTCATTGTGTGACCATTGACCAACGGGCCCGTCAAGGATTTTCCTGCCAAAGACGTGGGGGCCTCTCAATGGCTGCTAATTACTGCTGCTGTTTCTTTACCGTTGGGCGCAAAGTTTTTATTTTATTTTTCAGGTGGTACTGGCACATGGCGGCGGCAAAGAGAAACAATGTGTGTCCCGTATAGATACCTTCCATTGTATATAAACAAACACATTGTGTCTAGATTCGTACTTACTCTGTACAGCTTGGGAAGGTGCTTGGGTGACTACCTTCCCTCAATGCTTCTGCCTCGGAGGGGAGAAGATGGCAGAACCCAATGGAGAAGAGGGGAAATATCTGCTGCCTCAGGTATGAAGCTCTTTCACCTTGTCTTGGGCATGAGGGGTCTCCCCTCCGTACATCGCATGGTACCTTACCTGCTTACTTAGGTAGGTACGGTCCACGAATACCTACATAGTAAGAGAAGTTCAAGCACATGTAAAGCAATTGAGTCGTCCCCCTCACCATCTTCTCATGCAATCTCCCACCGTCAATACCTCAGCGAAGGCTGCGGCTGCTTCTGCGGAACATCTCACTGGATCCACATGTTCAGATCTTACTTGAGTCATTGGCACCCAAGCTTAGGCCGGGTTGGACGTCACGACCCAGCCATATACTATGTAGAAACGGATACACCCCTGACATGCCAACTCATTGAAGATAAGCACGTCAACGCGTCACGGCATCGCTTTACTCGAGCATCGTCATCCGCCTTCTTCACTTGTAATTCCAAAGCAAAAGATGCCAATTGGACCATGGCTACCATACTACCTACTGAGGTAAGGTACCTAAGTAAGCTACTTCGTAGGTACCAAGCCTGTGCATCTTCTGCAGACCGCCTGGATGACAGACTCGACATAAGGCCCGCGGCACGGATACCTTACTGTCGGTCACATCACGCAACCCTTGTCACAATCTCCGTCTTGCCCTTCTCATCCACCGTCTGTGCGATTCACCGGACTCTCATTAGAAGCGTCACCAAAAACCAAATTTCGGGTGAGTAAATGACATTCATCCACACTGCGCTTTTCTACAAATCCAAATACGACAATTTCAACCATATGTCTTCCACCTTGTTTATTTCTCCCCAGTCTTCACACACTGTATCAACGTGTGGGTACGGATACCATTCCTCACAACCGAGCGCAACCACGCTTCCCCTCATTGGCGCAGAATGCATCCTTGGACGTCCGATCGACACACACCGACGACGGCGGTACCCAAAGTCCTGGGTTCTTCTCAAAAAAGTTGGACGCCCGCAGCATCACGCTCACCGGCTCTGCTGGCATAATTGGGAAGTCCTCCGTCCGGGGAAAGTGCGTGAGACCAAATTGAATGTAGCACACAATATCTGTGTTTTCGATAGACTCGTTCCGAGCCACCCAGTCCACGATTGTCTGGTTATGCGGATGCTCCTCTCCCGTCGACTGGCAGACGTAGTCCCCAGCCGGGAAAAGCTCGTAGTCTTTGTACGGCACTACCCAAAGACTCTTGCGAGCAAACGCCGCCCGTTTGTACACCATGCTCCCTGGTTTGGCCAGAAGAGGCGGGCAATTGGGATTGATGATTTTGTACCCAACCGGCTTTTTGGCTGAAGGGTTGATGCTATTCGGATTGATGATATCCCACGCCCGACTCGTCTCGTGGCAATACACTGCAGCACCCTCCTCCGAAGTACGCAAAGGTGTCTTTTTGCAGTAGAAACCATTGCCAAAGGGGTTTTCTTGTGATCCCACGGGCGCGTCCGATGGTACCGCGTCGCTTTGTAGCACTGAATTGTTTCGCCCATCAATCTCGGGATCAATTCTCAACGAGAAGATATGCTGGTGATTATGGGCATTCAATCGGGGCGCAACCTCGGTGCCGTACGGAGCTGCCGACTCGGATGGGTGCATGCAATACGTGTTCAACATGCCCGTGAGCTTGATCTCGAGTTTATATGTGCCGTCGAGAGTAAAGGTATGGTAGAAAGCATACTCGTAATTGGCCGCCGTGATGATCTGGGAAATGACGAGCTTCCGATCACGGGCTGAAATAACACTGCCATCACGAAAGTCCGTATGCTTGTAGAGAAGTCCGTTATCCTCCTCGTGGATGCAAATCGCGTTTTTGATCATTGCTGGTTCGCCTTTGGATGTCGTCATGACTGCGTCGAGATAATGGATCTCGCCCTTGCAATCGCAGCCAAGCTTGAGCGAGTTCGTCATAAGGCCGCTGCCGTATTCACCAACGTCAAAGGCGTGCTTCCGCTGGTGTGGTGGATCAGGGTTGCCGTACGGGACAACCATTTCGACAACGCTAATGCGGTTGAACAGTGTTCGATCTTGTTGTTGTTGTTGGTCGTGGATGCGCACGTCTGAGATCACGATGCCTTCCCGGTAATTGAAACCGATATGCATCTTGTAGCCCGCCCAGAAAAGCTCGTTCCCCTGCATGCGAAACGAAACGCCTTGCGGCTGGGTGATGTCGATAGGCTTGAGCCTAGTGCCATCGTATGACTCTTGAATGAAGTCTGGTAGGTAGTTGTGTTCGTCCAGCGGGACCTTGGTCCGTTCTCCGTTGACATGTCGGACGTCAATAGCGAGGACCTCTTCCGTCTCGGTGTCCACAACCACGGAAAAGTCCAAGGGGTGTGCGTACTGGTTGTCCATTGATGACTTTCGGTAGTAGGGCAGACCTTGCTGCAGACGCCGTTCAAACCCCCAACGGTGGTCGAATCCAATGGCCCAGGCGTCGAAGAACACTTTGGACATATCGGTAATGCCAATCTCACGGCAAACCTCAATGATTTTGGGGTTCAGCCGGGCAACTCGTTCCGTAACGTCGAGGTCTTCAAGAGTCAGGGTCGGTGCGACCTCCGATACTGCTTTCCAGGTCTCAACCTCGCCTTTGGCCAGATTGACAATGACCTCGGCAACCTTGCTTGAACCACGCTCTGCCAGTATGATAGCAAAGGCACGCCGTTCGGGTCGCGGCCCTCGCCCTGCACGGAACTCTGCATACTCGCTCTTGGTAGGTTCACGTAGAGTCAGACAATTGAATTTGACCGAACCAGCGTTTCTGTGCTCACGGATGAGCCTGGCAGCAACTCGTAATTCGTCGATTGACAGCGGATCTGGAATATTACATTAGCTTCACAATATCGCAATTGAACCTGCCAGCAACCGTCTCAGGTACGCAGGCATTGCCGTACGTCAGAAATCAAGACTTTGACATACCAAGTGGATGCATCACTGCTTGCTTAGACAAGTCAGGAGCTTGGTCGCCTTCTTCATGATGGAAGATTGTGTAACCAGGAAGAGAAGTTGTGTCTTTGATCATGTTGACGGAAATATCGTATAAAAGCACAGGGGGGCGAACACAGGCTTCTAACGCCGTCTTAGAATTGAGAGACAACGGCTATACTTATACTCATGGTCACTCGACTGACGAATGGTATTTACGTAAAATATCGTGCCATCTACGAAGTCCACTGGGGCTTTTGCTCGCCGGCCCGTTCAAGCTTTGGTCAGATGGGTATCAGCTTTACGATCCAGATCTCTGACGCACGCGGGGATGACCGGGACAAGGGATGTTGTTAGACTCGTTGTCGTTGATGACTAGTGGGACCGGCCCGGCTGGTGGGGGCGAGAGAACCATGAGTTACCGGCATAACGAGTCGACCACTCCTCAGTAGATGAATCTACCCGGATGATGCGTATCTCCGGCCCCAAAAAGATTAGGTTGTTATTATATGCCAACACTAATCACTCACTCCGAGTGTTATCGACTCCAAAAGGGGGAAGATCCGACATCAGGATGAGGGGAAATAATTATAAGAAGTAGTGCACTGCCGTGAAAGAGGGTATTGGCCGAGACACGCCAACCAACTACCACAAGAGAATGTCACAATCTCGTATTTCCAACCAAGCTTTTCCCCTGCTTCTACCTCTGTTGTCCAAAGCCTCACGAGCGTCCCTGTCCACGCGATCAATATGGATGCTGAGCAAGGTCCCACGTTGAAGCCCTCAACGATGTCGCATCAGGCAGCTCAAGATGCAGTAGATCTCGCCGAACTTGGTCATTCGCAAGCTCTCAGTCGCAAATTCGACACGTGGAGCATGTTGTCGCTCGCCTTTGTCGTTCTAGGCACCTGGTCAGTCTTTGCACAAAGCCTGGCCAGCGGCCTCACCAACGGTGGTCCGATAACCATCCTCTGGGGCCTGTGTTTGGTCACTTTTTGCAATACTTGCATCGGCGTTTCCCTAGGAGAGATGTGCAGCAGTATGCCAACGGCTATGGGTCAGGCATACTGGGTCTCACGGTTATGGCCTACCTCAGCTGGTCGCTTTTTGTCGTACCTCTGCGCCTGGATCAATACCTTTGGATGGTGGACTTTGTCAGCTTCCACCGTAGCGTTTATGACCGAGTTCATCTTGGGAATGAACTTGCTTTTCGACGAAACTTCGACGGCACCTCAAACTGGCTGGGTCCAGTTTCTGGTTTACCTTGGCACGACAATACTCCTGACTCTCTTGAATATGATTTCTTGTCGAAGGGACAAGATTCTCCCCATTTTTAACAACTTTGTTGGGATCACGTTTGCCGGGTTATTTTTTGTTTTCGGACTTGCCCTACTCATATCGGTTGGGACCAGGGACGGACTCCATTTCCAATCCGCATCGTTTGTGTTCGGAGCGTGGATTAATCGCACGGGATGGGGCGATGGTATCGTGTGGTTCATGGGCCTCGTCCAGAGCGCCTACGGACTCACGGCTTTCGACGCCGCCATCCATCTCGTAGAGGAGATACCTGCACCACGAAAGAACATCCCCCGGGTCATCTGGTTGTCTATTATTTGTGGTGCAGGTACTGGATTCTTGTTCATGGTTGTCTGTCTCTTTTCCATCCAAGACCTCGAACAGGTCCTCGACCCGACAACAGGCCTCCCCTTTATGGATCTTGTCAAAAGCACGGTTGGGCTGCAAGGGGCAGCCGTCCTTATTGCTCTTTTCATCATCAATGGCTTGGGCCAGGGAGTCACTGTCTTGACGACAGCGTCCAGACTCACATGGAGTTTTGCGCGCGACGGAGGAATCCCGTGGAGTCCCTACTTCTCTCATGTGGACGAAACTTGGAAGGCACCAGTTCGCGCGCTTGGGCTACAAGGAATCATCATCGGTCTCGTCGGTCTACTTTACACCTTCTCCAACACAGTTCTGGAGGCCATCGTCGGCGTCAGTACCATTGCCCTTACGATATCCTACGCTATTCCCATACTCACGCTTCTTCTGGTTGGGAGAAACAAATTGCCCCCAGCGGAATTCCGTCTTGGTCGATATGGGGCTGTCATCAATTGGGTTTCGATTGTTTATTGCTTGGTTACGACTGTTTTCTTCTTTTTCCCCGCCGAGCCCAACCCAGCTATCGCTGACATGAACTATGCTATCGCTGTCTTTGGAATTATCCTCTTATTCAGCATTGGCTTTTGGTTCATCAAAGGAAGGCAGACGTATTTGCAAGTTGAAGACATTGCTGGACGGGTCATATATGGCACGGCTGAGCATCAGCCCGAAGTCACGGCTGAGTCCAACACAAAGAGAGACTGAACCTTTGTACTTACGCTGTTATCTGTAAACATGTTGAAATAGTTGCGAATCAAGAGAAGCAAATAAGTCTTCATCTAACTCACTTCATGCTACCCCACAACCCCCATGTGCTACTTCGACACCGGTTTGCCAACGCAAGTACTTGACAAAAAGGCGGATACTCACTGACAAGAGTATTCATTAATGAGGTTATCGTTTGCATCTATCGAGGTGATAAGCAGAGGTGCATTTCAAGTTCTCAGAACGCACACGAATGGGTGAACATATGGGCCGGGAAGTGGATGAATTCGCAGTTCCCCAGATGCCAAGTGCTAGCGCTCTCGGCTAAAGTCTTGGCCATAAAACTAGCCGCTTCTGGATTGATGCAGACCCGCCGCAAAAGCTTGGCCAAGAATCTAGCCTCTCTGAGACTAGGTACGGAGCCCCTCCAGTCTGTCACTCTGGCACAGTCCCCCTTATCTTGATGTCTTTGTAACGAATTTACATCTCTACCAACAGGCAACACTCCTGAATGTCTTGCGAGGCGCTTGCAGGGTGACTGCCATTCTGCTGATAGTACTGCTACATATTAATGGCAATTTCCGCATTGATAACGTTCTGAACTATGCCCGGAACCGGGAAGAGTCCCAGCTACCTGACGCTGGAGCATGGTCGAGAGGCTGTAGGATGCAAAGAACCTCAAGGCGTTTGGCGCCTCAATGCATGGCATTCTTTCTTGCTGAATGTGAAGTCGCTCGTACTGCCTTGGTGAAATAGTCTGCTTGTCAGAATCTATTTGGATATTGTTAGCCGTCGTGGTGAGCTCTACCGTTGAATCTTCTCTCCAACGGACTTTCGAAGCGGCGCTGGTGTGTAACGAGCTGCACACTTTCCTGACAAAGGGAGATTCCCAAGATCCGATTTCAACAACGATCGACTACGATATTGTCTCTCGAAACCGGTAACTGATCCGGATAGAGGTGGGTATAGAAGTCAGTGCCAGTCGATCCCGACGTCGGAGCCGGCTGTTGGCCCGGTGTACTAGGTAGGCTGCGAACTTCATTATTAAAATACAACTATCTAGATCTTGGGGCTAGATCTCATGCCTCCACGTGGCCAGCAAGATCGCAATGTCGGAAAGTAGCCAGGACAGCCAGTATTGTTGGCTCAATTTCAGCGTGCATGAGCTGGGTGACCCGTGCCTGTTTGCCTGGAGCCGAGCCTACTCTAGTGGGGCTATTGGAAAGGATGGGCTCCCGAGCCAAGTACTGTTTACCAACCCCGAGACGGCCCGCGGGGATACTGCGTGTCGTGGGGTTATCGGCAATCCCAATTGGGATTAGCAGAGAGTCGAACCTCGCGGTCAATTGCCAATTTCCATGCCAGAGACAGCTCTCACCGGATGAACGACTGCTTATTAATAAATGAAAGGATTCTCAGATCTCGAGCCTTTCGTGAATCAGTTTGGTGGCTCTCGGTGGTTAAGTGAATCGGTTCAGAAACGCCCAAGAAGCCCGCCGCCACAATGTTGTTCGTCCCTGACCAATCTCTTCCCCAACTCCCAAGCATTCCCGACACAGTGCCCCTCTGCGATTTCATGTTTGATGAGCAGTATGGACGGCACCCCGTTGCGACATCTCTTGATCCCTATACTTGTGGACTGAGTGGTAGCAGTATCTCGGCCCAGGAACAGAAAGGTCGTGTTGAGGCCCTTGCGAGATCATTGGCTCAGGAATTCGGATGGAGTGTCAATCAGGGCAGTGAGTTCGACAAGGTGGTCGGCATATTTGCCCTCAACACTGTAAGTTCTATAAGGATTGGAAATTCAAGATTTCTAAAGATGACGCGCGTGCTGACGTTCTTCTGCAAAACAGGTGGACATAATGGGATTATCCTGGGCCGTCCATCGCTTGAATGGCATCTCTTCCCCTGCAAACGCGATGTACAATGCAGAAGAGCTCACACATCAACTCGTGACATCAAAGTGCAAAGCGCTCTTCACCGTTCAGTCTCTTCTGCCCGTCGCACTGAAAGCTGCTAAAGCTGCCGGTATTCCAGAGTGCTGCATCTACCTCTGCGACATGCCTGGCCAGCAGGAGGCGAAGTTCGAACAGTACAAAACGGTCGCTGAGCTTATTCTTCGAGGCCAAACTTTGCCACAACTTGAGCCAATCAAGTGGAATCGTGGTCAAGGACAAAGACAGACAGCATTTCTCTGCTACTCCAGTGGTACCTCTGGTCTACCGGTGAGTGATGCCTCCAAAGATCTGTCTCCTTTGTTGAACTTGCGTACTGATGCTACTTAACAGAAAGCGGTCATGATCTCACACAAAAATGTCATTGCCAACATTATCCAATTGTCACTTTTTGATCAAGCAGACCGAGACGCCATTGCTCCGGCGTATCGCGACATTGGACTTGGCCTTCTACCTCAATCCCACATCTACAGCCTGATCATTATATGTCACGCCTCAACATATAGGGGCGACTCGGTAATCGTGCTACCAAAGTTCGACTTGAACACATACCTCCGCACAATAGAGTATTTCAAAATTAACACCCTCTATCTCGTTCCGCCGTTGGTTATCGCAATGATCAACAATCTTGAAACACTAAAGAAATACGATCTTTCCTCCGTCAAGCGGGTGTGGGTCGGGGCGGCACCGTTAGGGCTGGAGGCAACTAATGCACTGCTCTCCGCGTATCCCTCCTGGAAGATAACTCTCGGATATGGCATGACAGAAACATGCGTCGTTGTCACTTCCGGTACGCCTAGGGACATTGTCGTTGGCAGTTCCGGCCTGATTTTGCCAGGCTTTGAGATCATGCTCGTTGACCCGGACGGCAAGCGGGTGGACACATACAACGAGCCGGGCGAGGTGTGGGTGAAATCGCCAAGTGTTGTGCTCGGCTACCTGAATAACGAGTCTGCAAATCGCGACACTTTCGTTCACACGGAGAATGGTCGGTTCATCAAGACAGGAGACGTCGGGGAAATGCGGAAGGCACCCAGCGGAAAGGAGCACCTCTGGATCGTGGACCGAATCAAAGAACTCATCAAAGTCAAGGTACGAGCTTCGAACATTCAATCAGTATTTACGGTCACTGACTAAAGCCATCTAGGGTCATCAAGTTGCTCCGGCTGAACTAGAGGCGTGCCTATTGGGCCATTCAAGCGTGGCGGATTGTGCCGTCATTTCTGTGCCGGATGATCGTGCCGGCGAAGTCCCAAAGGCTTACATTGTCAAGTCGGGGCCATGTTCCGAGAAGGGTATCCAGGAGTACGTGCAGGCCAGGAAAGCTCCCCACAAATGGATCAAGGGAGGCATCGAGTTTGTGGATGCGATTCCCAAGTCTCCTTCGGGCAAGATACTAAGACGGTTGTTGAGAGACCGTGAGAAGCAGCGGCGTGCAGCAAAGCTATGAGTGAACCAAAGGGTTAGGTTTGTTTGGGAGACATCTTGCTGAGGGTTTCAGATTAGATGACAAGTTTCGTTAGTGTCGGAACCGTGATGAATAGAGTACCTTCGAGACATCAGGAACGTGTGAACTTCTCATCCTCATTTCAATTTCTCTCGTTTTCACTCACTACCTTAGCTTGCTGCTTAGGCACTTGGTGACCAAAGGTAGTCTGTCGGCAAACTTCGGTTATGCCTATATGAGTAAGCCGGTCACAGCGTTGGTGGTCTGGGTGGAGAGGAACCCAGATGAACCCTGCCAGAGTGCAAACATGTCATACTCAAATACTTAATTCGACATCATCGTTGCAGAACAATCTCAAGTATCGAATCACAGCATTAGCTTTCGATATTCACTACAAGCAAGCCCATAGCCATGCAGATCCCCGCGACTATGTTTGCTTGGAGAAAGCACAAGGGCAATCCAAATCCTGTGCGTGTACTGGAAACACTGGATCTAGACCTCAGAGCTAATGATTCGAATGTGCAAAATTAGGTCTGGGAAGAGGTACCCGTACCCATGCCCTCGCCGACGGGCGTATTGTGCAAGATGCTCGCCTCCGGGGGTAAGATCAAAACAATTGCATAGCTGTTGATCATGGTGACTCACTACATAACAACCATAGTCTGTCGTAGTGACCACTCGCTTCTCACCATCGAAAAGCAGCCCGGCTGGTTTCAGGATAAATTTATTCTTGTACGACGGTTCAAGTCACTTGTCGTCTAATCCTACGTCTTTCTAATTTCATATCAGGGCCACGAGGGGTGCGGTCAAATTATCAAGCTTGGAGATCAAGTTCTTGACTCAGAATTCAAAGTGGTAAGCATCAATGAAGGGTTTTTACAATCATTGCATCCCAATACTTAATATGGCCAGGGCGACATTGTGGCTTTGAACGCTGTTCCAGGATGTGGCGCTTCCCACTGCGATGAATGTTCGCGGGACTTAGCTCAAATATGCGAAGTTGGCCATCATTCCGGCATCGGTCAGGATGGATTCTATGCTCCGTACGCGGCTATCGATGTCCGTGGACTTGCACATGTTCCTCAAGGAGTCTCACCCGCTGAGGCTGCGGTGGCCACTGACGCCGTTACCACCGCTTACCACGCTGTTCATCGAAGAGGCGAAGTCAAAGCAGATGAGACCGTTTTTCTATTCGGCCTGGGAGGCCTGGGATTCAATGCTCTTCAAATTGTCCTGAACATTGGGGCAAGAGTCATTGTCTCTGATATCAGAGAAAGTCTGCTCGAAGAGGCTGCCGCCATTGGGGTCCCTCGGGCAGACTTGGTTCCGCCAGGGAAGAAGGTTCAAGAATTTGTCATTGAACAAGGATTGACCGGTAAAATCGACACCGTCCTCGATTTTGTCGGCACTCATCAGACCTTTGAGGATGCTCAGCAGATAGGTAAGAAAAACCACATCTTAACGATTCACCTAACTCGGGAAATCTGTCTCACACGAAGCTTTAGTTCGTCGAGGTGGGAAGCTGCTATGCATTGGTAGTCTCGACACCGAAAACACCATACATATGAAGATTGGAACCAGGAAGCGACTCAGCTACATTTTCTCTTATGGAGGTCAGGTAAAGGACCTGAGGGAAGTTTTGCAACTCATTGCCAAAGGCAACATTAGGCCCAGAGTTGAGACGGCGAAATTGAGTGACTTTCCCGATGTCTTGGAACGCTTGGAAAGAGGGGAAATCAAAGCCAGAGTTGCTTTGATGCACGGATGATCCACCATACGAATTGCATCTTTCAACTCTTGGGAGTTGAGTCAAACATTGATACCTTATGCTTTCCCCAAGGCTTCAGTAATTCCATTTGACTTTTGAAGTTCATTCAAGTATTGAAAAGTACACATTTACTAGCCGTTCACACTAGCAGCCTTGGTCATCCCAATTCCAACAGCTGCAGTAGTGCCGGCGTCGACTGGTAGAATCACACCAGTCATCCATCTTGCATGATTACTGGCCAGAAAGACAACCGCACAAGCAGCATCCCAGCCGTTCCCTTCCGTTCCTAGCAGGCTCCTTCCCTTCCTTGCAGCTCTGGCTTCCTCACTCATTCCACCAGCGTACATCATGGGTGTATACAGCATCTGTACACCCAATAGAACACGCCACGTCGTTAGCTTTGTCATGTTCTTGGGTGAGAGTATAAGGTATGAAGATGAAGACTCACCCCGGGGCAGACGCAGTTCACGCGAATTCCATCTTTCGCATGGTGTGCCGCCATTGCTCGCGTCATGTTGACAATTGCGCCTTTGCTCGTCGGATATAAAAGGTGCGGGGTGCCTCCCTTCAGGCCAGCGACGCTGCCCATGTTGACAATTGCACCTTTGCTTTCTCCGTCATTTTTGAGCATAGCTGGGATGGCATACTTCGCCATGAGAACCATGCTGGAAACGTTGACATCGAGACCCGTTGCCCATTGTTCCATGTCCACCTCGACTGCGGTACCTGCGGCTCCAGCAATTCCAACGTTGTTGACTAGAATATCAACCCGACCAAATTTCTCCAATGCCGTTTGAACGATGTTTTCGCAATCTGTGGAAGAAGTCACATCCCCTTGAACAGCCAGAGCTTCGCCTCTCCCAGGTTTCGCAGCTACCAAGTCGCAGGTTTTGCGCGCCCATGACAGGTCTCTATCGACGCAAACAACATGACAGCCGTCATCGGCCAGGAGAATAGAAATGGCACGCCCGTTTCCAATGCCATCTCCTGCACACCCAGCTCCAGTGACAATGGCCACCTTGCCTTTGAGGGATCGGGATGGTGGTTCGCTAGGAATTTCTGACATGGCTGTGGTGTATGATGCGTTGTTCGGTAAAGAATTGAGTGACTGTTGGATATAACAAACTATCGCGTGACTCACGATTATACTACATCTACCCAACATCTCATATAAAATAGCTTAACAAGAGTTTGACCTCTAAGTTCCCGTGTAGTATTACGCGACAGTAGCTGGACCGGCAACGCGGATAACTCGTTTGGGGAAACCCGGGCAGCATGACTTCGGCGGGGTTGCACTAGAACAACAAGGACCCATGTAATGACTGCATTAGAGGGTGGGCATGTTGCCGAAAGGTTCACTCAGCTTGACAATGCCCCGTGGGTTGCGGTAATTAGCGGCTACCAGGCGAATGAGCACCAAACATGGCGCAAATTCCAGAACGGCACGCCCTGCCCGGTAACTAGGTATTGTTCGCTGAGCCGCTGGCAGGAGACCTAGTGCATTGCCGGTTTTACCCAAAGCCGAATCTCAGCATGACGGGACCCTAATCAGCAAACATGAGGCGCATGGTTGGTCTTATTTCCCCGCAGAACCTCGGCACGCTGTCCTTGTTATGAGGCTAAATTAGTCTTGAGGCTCATTGCCCCTCCTCATCATTACTAATTGCGTTGGCTTTACCGAACCTCGGCCTATGCTCTGCTTTTGAGAACCTAGTCGCTCGCGATCAGACATAGAGAACTTGGAGGGAACATCTCAATTAGCCATTTTCGATTCAAACAACATCGGGTACCTCTTTTGAAGCCTCTCACGGACAGACGCAAGAAAGTATGTGTGACTTTTCGAGATACGGCGGCCCCAGCGAAGAGTGGCTAGCGGTGGAAGCTGGTCTTCCCCCTCCCCAAACCGACCTCTCTCCGTCGGAACGCAAGAATGTCATGAATAAAGTCCGCGATGAGTTGGCAGTGGAAGCCATGAAGCCTATGGCAGACAAAGTCCAAGTACGCGACTGGACAATCCCTACACGTGATGGGGCAACACTCGAAGCCCGAACCTATCGACCCAAGGCGGCGGGTGATGGGCCTCTGCCAGTCTACCTCTATTTCCATGGAGGCGGATTTCTTTTCGGTACCTTGACCTCCGAAGATGCGACTTGTTCTCGCATTGCCATTAGCACAAATGCGCTTGTTGTTAACGTAAACTATCGCCATACGCCTGAATACGTCTACCCAACAGCATGGAATGATGCGGAAGATGCCTTCATCTGGTTGCATGCCAATATCAAGGAGCTCGATGGCGACGCGGCCAAAATTGTCGTTGGAGGTATATCGGCTGGTGGACAGTTGACAGCTTCACTCACACTCGCTCAGCACCTTGGAAAGCTCCCCTCGGGGTTGCCCTCTATCGCAGGCCAGGTTCTGATGATCCCTTGTCTGGCGCATGTTGATTGTTACGATGGCTTGTTGAAGAAGATGAAAAATCCGTCGGTCTCATCGTACCCCGAGAACGAAAGCGCCCCAATCTTGCCGCGACCCATGATCGACCTTTTCGTTGGCCTTCTCAAGGTTGAGAACCCAGACCCCAACGACCTGAGACTTAACCCTGGTAACGCGACACCAGACCAGGTGAAAGGACTACCCCCGACGACGTTTGGAATTTGCGGCTTGGATGCATTGAGAGATGAGGGTTTGCTATACGCCAAGATGCTTACAGAGGCTGGGTGAGTGGCTCTTACGCTTGGGACCCCGGACAAGTGATCGCTGAAATATAGCACAGTGTTCCCACGGATATTCATGTCTACAAGGGCGTTCCTCACGGATTTAGGCGGTTTGGAGACAAGTTATCAGCGTCGAAACACTGGGACGAGACTACGGACAGTGGGATTACTTGGGCATTGACTAACCCAACGGCCACGGGAGAGTTCAAGATTCATGAACATTAGAAAGGCACCGTTGCTTGAAATAATCTGAAGGACTAGCACTGTTTAAGCTCAAGGCGCGGGGAACTTCAATACATCTAGACGTGAAACAGTTAACAGAAAGCGTATTACCTGTCAGCGCATGTACGTCTTCTGTTGCGATCTTAGAGATTCCACTTTCAACATCCAGAGGTCTTCACTCAGAGGGCTTGATGATTTTGATCAAGGATAAGACACCAGCCTCAGGTTACATAGCACAGCCTCATTGTACAAACGCGTTGGTACTTGTAAAATGATCTCATGTGTTTGATAAATCCTCAAGTAAATGCCACCTCAGCCAACATTCTCTTACAATCAGATCATCCAAGCACAAAATCAGAATAATTCCTGGCCTTCACCTCGTCGCACCGCTTTCTATAGCCAGGTGCAGGCCCATTATACCGTGTCATAGACCTCTTCTGCTTATGAGCGAGGTTCTTGTTGACACCTGTCATCCAAGAGTCCACCTCGTTAGCCAGAAGACCTTCTCCGCATTTCCATACATGATCCGTCCACATGCGGACACCTTCATCTGTAGCCTCAACAGATGTGATGTTATTGTCTCGAGCATACCGGATGAAGTCTGCAACCCACTCTACGGCATACTCGATGCTGCGGGGGATGTTGCCAAACATCTGGTGCGGTCCCATAACCATGAACATGTTAGGGAATCCCTTGACAGTTAAGCCAAGGAAAGTTTGGATGCCCTCGCTCCAAACATCTGTGAGTTGTTTGCCCCCGATACCTTGGAAGTCTACAGCCCGGAACGATCCAGTGATGGCGTCGAACCCTGTTGCGTAGATGATGACATCAAATTCAAAGTCTTCCTCGCTCGTCTTGATTCCCTTTTCCGTGATGTGATCGATAGGGGTCTCTGTGATATCAACCAAGCGGACATTCGGTCTGTTGAATGCCTCATAGTAGCCACTTTCAAGCGGGACTCGACGAGTGCCGAAACCGTGATTCTTCGGAATAAGTTTCTCTGCAACTTTGGGGTCGTTGACGCGTTGGCGGATTTTGTTTGCGTGGAAATCACTGTACAGTTTGTTCGCTTCGCGGTTGGTATAAATGTCGCCTGAGATGCCGAGCACCTTTGCAAACCCAGGCTGTGCATAAAGTTCCTCCCAATGGTCCAGGCGCTCTTTTTCTTCCATGTCAAAGACACTTCTTGTGTCACCGACATGTATGAAACACGAGTAAGAGTCCAAGCACTGACGGAAGATCTCAGGATACCGCCTCCGAATATCGGCCATCTCCTTTGGACTAATCTTTGTATTCCGCAGTGGTGCAGTCCAATTGGGCGTCCTCTGGAATACAGTCAAAGAGCCAACTGTCTTGACAATTTCCTGGATCGTCTGGATGGCAGTTGCGCCTGTGCCGATGATGGCCACGCGCTTGCCGTCAAGACTGGCGCCGTCTCCAGGCCAGCGGGCCGTGTGCCATGCTTCTCCCTTGTAGTTGTGAACTCCGGCAATATTTGGCAGAGTGGGTTCGTTGAGAATACCCATCGCTGTCACCAGATAACGGCATGTGTAAGTGGCACCGTTTCCATCGGTCAAAAGCCAAGACCTTGTGTCTTCCTGGAAGCGAGCTGACCGGATACGCGTGTTGAATTGCATGTCCTTTTTCAAGTCGAACTTCTTGGTGAGGTACTGGATGTAGCGTAGAGTCTCCGTCTGAGGCGAGAAATGCTCAGTCCAATCCCACTCATCCAACACTTCTTGAGAGAAGGAAAATATGTAGGAATAGCTCTCTGAATCAAATCGAGCTCCAGGATATCGGTTCCTACAGTCAAGTTAGCTCAATTTTCACATATCGTTACTGCAAAGTGGCCATACCAGAACCAAGTGCCTCCTTCGGCAGAACCGGCTTCAAGGACTTTTACTCTCAACCCCAGTTCCCGCACTCGATAAAGTGAAAAGATCCCACTGAGGCCGCCACCAACTATCAAGACATCGTAATCGAGGTCTTGATTAGCAGATTGGAAGCTTGATGGCGATGTGCCATTGGGCTTCGATTCGGACCCCTGTGCCATTGTTGGTGTAATGCTTTGTGCGAAGTCCTGGCTTGACTTGAACTCTGACGCGCGTCTGTATTCACGACAGTTCCGAATCTGGGCTTGAAGTACTATCGATATAAAAGTATGACTCGATGCTCTGTGGTCTTTTGTGGATTAGGGTGTTTGCACAATTATAATGAACAGTGAGCAACGCAGTTGGTCTAGAGAGATCTGAGGCTTGGAATTGGGTGGAGACGGAAGAGGGGATTCGCGGGGATGCCGGCGGTAGAATGTCACCCAACCTTACCGCGGAAGACAAACAAACTTCGGCTCGGCGCGCTCGGTGGGTTCGGCTACCCCAATCAGGAAAGTGCCGAAATGCTCCAGTTGTGATACCGCAATGCAGCCCTCAGGTGAATTGCCAACCATAGTTGAAGGGGCTAGCAGGCGACTCAGAGTATTCAGACCATGTAAATACTGCCTCACCCGTTCTTCAGCCGCTACGGTACTGATTACGGCACAAAATGAAGTTGCCGAAGAGGTTTCTCTGCAGCGAGCTGTCGTCAAGTGATCAAACTTTCAGTGTCTACTGAGTACTTAGTGTTCAATGACACAAATGGGATGTGAGGATTCACATGACTTCGGGACACCAAGTCGCGGATTAATAGAGTGCTGGAGCCAAGCGAAAGTTAAATAAACGTTGACTCTGCAGGTGCCTTAGTAAGTTTTCAGGACAGTCTGGTGGGTAACTGCAGGACGATGCGTATTCTATAAATTAGGCCCGATAACTACAGCAGCCCCTTCGAGTCCCAGTACGACTCTAGGTCGCGAAAGAAAGACCATTTGACTTTCTCCCCCCAGCCGTTTGATTTCCAGTCGTTAAGGTCACTTGGAAAATGAGGCACACCGTCTCTGACTGTCGAGTCATGTGCTATAATGACAAAGATGTTCTCGTCACAATCCAATTCTTGGAGACATCCCACTGTCCTTCCCACCATAGGAAGGTCCAAACCAAACGTTGCATCGAAGAGCGTATCTGTGGAGGCTCTGCCCCGAGACTGCTGGAGCTCGTCCCAAGCGCTGCCAGGACAAAGTGCGGTGTCTTCGTGTGGCCGGCAAGGATGTGGAGAGATTGACGCGGGAACGGGCAGATGCTTCGAAGGTCGGAATATTCCTGCGTAGTGACAGACATCACCTCCAAGAAGAATGAATGTGTCCGGACTTTGCGTTGTCCGGGCTAGTCCGCAAAGATGGCCCACGGCATGGCCTGGGCTGTCTAACAGGTAGAACGAGCCGTCTCCAAAGTAGTCGAATGCCGGAAACCGCCCGATGCGAATGGTCTGAGGCCCTTCTTCGAATGAGATTTCTCTCAAGTTCCGGCCACTTGAATGCGTAAGTTTCGATTTGTTACAAGCTCTGATTGATCGTATCTAGGGGTGCTTCAACAACTTACGCATAGTCCTTCTCGAGTATAGGAGATTCGGGATTTGCAGGTGCGCCCGGAAGCATCGCCGCCTTGAACCCTGGCCCAACAATCAAGTCGGTTGTTTTCGGGAATGTGGATGGGTCGCCAATATGATCCCAATGCCAGTGGCTACACAGTAGGTTAGAGAACTGTAGTAAACCTCATGTAAAGAATGTTTTGAAGGAGAAACAAGACTTTTTCTCTACGTACCTCCAGATTACTGCTTCGACATCCTCCGTAGCAACACCACTTTCTTCCAAAATGTCCGCCACATTTTTCTTCACCTGTATGTCGTAATTTGTTGTTGGCAAGTAACTGGTTATCGAAGGCGCATAGTTGTTGTAATCTTTCTTGATCCCTAGATCCCACACAAGCTTCCGACCTGAAGGATGCTCCAGAAGGAAGCAGAGAGAAGGAGACGTCTTGAAAGTTTCCAGGCCCGGAACATCTGGAGCCATGAAACGCTTGAGGATAGCCGGCCCAAAGTTGACAGGGTTGATCATCTTGACAACCACCGTCTCCCTCCCTCCTGGCAACGTAACAACAGGAGCTTTCAGTGACATGTTGACGCTTCGCTTGTGGATTTACGGGTTTGAAATGTGAGGTGCTGTTAGAATACTAGTCAATGGCAAGCCAACTTTGTCTGACTTCAAGCAGGTCTCAAGTACCTATGCAATTGTTTGTTCGGGTTGTTTGCTTCGGTCATGGGAAAGAAAGCCGTCAACAAGGGGCTTGATAGGAACCACAGAAAGATCTGCCGGCCCCTCAGTAGCGCCGAGCTATGGCCTTGCGGGGGAGAATTTCCAATTTGTTTACGGGCGCTTTCGGCGGTCGGTTACCCCTAAGCGGTGTAGTTGTTCCCCAACATCGCAAGGTTTCTTGTGGCCGGTAACCCGTATTGAATTACCGAGATGCCGTGTCAGTGAGACAGCCACCCAACCCACTGAGTGCCACGCTGTGATCCAGACCCCCGGGATTAGGGGCCACGTTCTCGATGCAGGCCGACTGATCCAGCGCCCTCCCCCAGTCAACTACTCCTGCCTGCATTGCAGTCTGTCCATGGAGAGGTCTCGTTAGCTCGCGGTTCCCCGGATTACAGGTCGCGCTAAGGCAGACCTGCTTCTTTTATAACATTGCCTTGGTTTCCCTCGTACGATGTTGCCATCTGTTCGGGATCCTACAAGTTGACATCCGATTTCAAGTTTCAGCAAACATGTCTGATCCCGCTAAGTCTGCAGAGAGTGTTCAGCAAGTGGAGCGCCCTGAAGGTGTTACAGAGATGAAGACGAGCGCCGCTGTTGACACAGTCCACAATGACGAGGCACTCAAGGTGCTCGAAGGCTACACCGGCGACTATGAATGGACAGAGAAAGAAGAGAAGAAACTCAGAAGAAAGATAGACTGGAGATTGATGCCAGTGCTATGCATGACATACGGTCTCCAGTATTATGACAAGGCCATGCTTTCGCAGGCGGTAAGTAAAGACTCCGTGCTATCCAGTCAGGTCCTTGACCTTGTGTCCCATCGTGCCGCTAATTTGCTGTTACACAGGCTCTCTTCGGATTGCGAACCGACTTGGACCTGACGGTCGGTGATCGATATTCGATGTCGGCCGCCATTTTTTACCTTGGTTTCATTGTCGGTGCCTATCCGACTATGATTTTGGCCCAACGATTTCCAATCGAGCGAGTCGCCTCGGTTATTGTCACTCTTTGGGGTCTCACCTTGATCCTTACCACTGTATGCAGAAACTATCGCGACCTTTACGCTCAGCGGTTCTGCCTTGGACTACTGGAGAGCGGCATCAGCCCAATGTTTATGCTCATTGTCGGAAGTTGGTACAAGAAGAACGAGCAAGCCATGCGAATGGGGTACGTCAGTCACCTACGACATATAGGCCTGAGAGGTTCGAGGAGAGTTTGAGAGTATACTAACATTCATACACAGTATTTGGTACAGCTGCACGGGCTATGTTTCCATCTTCTCTCCCCTAATCAACTTCGGTTTCGGCAAGCTCAATGGCGGAGTCTCTTCGTGGAGATACATGTTCTACTTTGCCGGGTCGCTGACAATTGTCTGGGGTCTGCTCCTGTACTTTGTCCTCCCTCCCGACCCCATTCGCGCAAAGGGCTTCAACGATAGAGAAAGGTACATCTTGGTAGCCCGGTTGCGAAGCAATAACTCGGGCGTGCGCAACACTCACTACAAGATGGAGCAGGTCGGCGAGCTCGGTCTTGACATCAAGTTTTGGCTGGTTTTCGCCATCGCATTCCTCTGCATGATTGCAAATGGACCCATCTCGACATTTGTTCCCATCATCATCAACGGCTTTGGATTCAGCACTCTCAATTCCCTCTTACTTACTATGCCGGCGGGTGCGTATGGAGGCACTGTACAACTCCTTATGCCATACCTGGCATACAAGTTCAAGAACTGCCGCACTTGGATTGTGTTTGGTGCTCAGATGGGAACCACTCTCGCTGCCCTCTTGTTGTGGCTATTGCCGCGGTCAGCCAAAGGTGCTCTTCTCTTTGCTGCCTACATTTTGCCGTCCGTTGGAGGAGGATATGCCGTTCTTATGGGCCTGCAGATCGCCAACACTTCGGGTTACACCAAACGATCGATTGCTTCGTCCGGCCTTTATATTGGTTACTGCCTTGGTATGTCAAATCTGTCTTCGGCTAGACTACAACTTCACGATGGCTAATTCCACGAGCAGGTAACTTTGTCGGACCCTTGGTGTTTCGGAAGGAAGATGCGCCTAATTATGCTCCTGGCTTTATCGTTGTTGTGATTACATCTTTGGCTGCAGGAGTTCTCGGCCTTGTCTATCGATTTGTCTGCATTTGGTACAACAATAAGCGTGACAAGGCTGGCATCATGGAGGGCTTTGACCACGCCTACGAGGACGATCTCACCGACATGAAGGTACGTTTACTTCCTGGCTCTCGAACGGGTTCAAGTATGCTGATCAAGTGGCAGAACCCCCAGTTCAGATATATCCTCTAGGTGGATATCGCGTTGGTTCTCCTTTTTGTCACGGAGATTTTAACTATTGCTCTCTGCTGCCTGTGTTGTTTTGATGTGATGCTCTTTGTAATGGAGGAACGGAACGTGGTCAATCCAGAATGGTTTAGTTACACCAGAATATTACCGAGTTCCCTGAATACACCATCCGCTCTTTGAAGAGTTCTGCAAATTCACATTCGGCCATGTAAAATGCCATTTACAGAAGTAGATCTTGTGGAAATCGTGATTTCGAAAACCTGGTCACTACAGTCGTGAACAATGACTGGAGACACTCGTGACTCTCGTGTAGCCTATTAGCGTTCCATCTCAGCATTGGAGACGAGTTGAACAGCAACAGTACTTGAACAAGAGACACGCTTCAAGTCAAAGTCTGCTTCCGAAGTGTCCGGTTCGTACGACTCACGTGGCAGTTTAAGTGAGATGCTAGGAATCGGCGGTTCTGTCCGATTATCTCTGCTGGAACCACAGCCACCAGCCACCCAAACTGAACCCCACGACGTGGGAACGCCATCCTCAATGTGGAAAGCCACGTACGAATCACATTTTGTTCTCAGGCTCCATCTACCCAATGGTTCGAATCCCCATCGACCTAGTAAACCCCCTAAGATATTAGCCTGGGGTCCCCCAAGTGTCCCTCCTTCCTAACCCCCCTCCCCTCCCTTGTCTAACATCCCCCCCCAACAATCCAAGATCCTTCACTAATTAATAGCACACAAGCGTGACAGGGTGCTGGAGCCTGGGCACCTAGTGACTACCCCGTTCCCCGCATTTCTCCGCAGCCGGCCCAAGCTCCAGCGCTCCCTCTCCGCCCTCTCGGGTTCTGGGCCCAGGCTCAGATGCAGACTTCCCTCATCTCACTGTAACCTCATCTCAAATCCGTTCAAGGGAGGGTCAGGATTAGACTTTGTCTTTCATCAGCAACCTTGCCCGAACGATCTGTCCAAATCCCACGAGTTGCCATGCCGGAGACTATCAGTGAATGGCTCCCTTTCGATGCGTCGCAGCCCAAGCGCCGGCGAGCTGAGCTCGTCTGTGTGGTTTGCCACGGCAAAAAGGTCAAATGCGACCTTCAGGTTTGTCTGAGAGACGCGCAATATTTTCGAATTGCTCTGACCATACTCAGGCTAGGACCTCTGAAGGCTACGAGAGCTGTACGAATTGTGACGTCTGGGAGAAGGTATGCCATCTTCGCCCTTCGAAGCGTACAAAACGGCGACGTCTTGTACGGCCAGGCCATTCAAGTCGTGTCCCGACACCACCAGCGACATCGGCTTCTGGTGATGAAGCAACCGTATCACAGACAGACGCGGTGGCCGATGCCATTCATGTTCTATCCACAGGCTTCAATGATTTTGTTCCGCCGCCTCCGCCTTCCCGCTCTCGCCACTCAATATCAGAGCAGCATAGACATGCCTCATCCCCTCATTCAGCTGCTACGGCTGTGCGATCTCAGGAAATTCACCTCGCACCGTCGCCATCACAGAGGTCACAGAGCAGTGATGCACGCACTGAAGGTGTTGCTGAGAGCCACACTGGTGATATAGACACTGGATTCTTACAGGTCTATGCACCTGAGAATCAGTCTGACGCTGAGAAACAGGCATTGAAGGCATGCCTGGACCATAAGTATAGTCTCTCAAACCCCCATGAGCAGGATCTCCAGGAAAGCTTTGCCGAGACCTATTTCGAATACTGTTATGCCTGGTGTCCAGTTCTTGATTCAGACACCCTTGCCAGCGATATTGCGCGATCTCCTCTCCTTGCAAATGCGTTGGCAACTGCCGCAAGCAACGTGCAGCCTCCACTAGTGCCTTATGAAGGACCGGCCGAGTACTACAAGAAGGCACGCACAATATTCTACGAGGATGAAGAGGCAGATGGTTTGACTACCCTCATGGCCGTTTCTCTATTCTACTGGTGGGCACCACGCCCCCCAAGCACAGTTCATCGGCACTCATCATGGTGGTGGACGTCGGTCCTGATTCGTCATGCGCAGCAAATGAATCTACACCGTGAGCCAACAGCGAGCCAAGTCGTTTCGGGCAACTTGAACTTAGGATTACGAAGGAGAATCTGGTGGACGGCATTCGTAAGTGGCTTGAGAACTATCGTCTTTCCCGTCGAGTTTTGCTAAGAGATGTACTAGGCTCGGGAACGTTTGACTGCGTTGTGTCAGAGTAAGCCAGCCATCATCGATCTCGATGACTGCAATATACAAGAACCCACCCTGTCCGACTTTCCAAGCGATCTCAGATCTCAGAGGAAAGGAGAGATATTTATATACTGGGTTCGCCTTTGTGTCATCATCGGGAGGATTGCAAAAACACTCTCACGTTCGACGCTGCCTACGGCAGAAATATCACCAGACCACCACAGACAGGAGTTGGTGGACTGGGTCAACTCTCTTCCTCCTCACCTGCAACTTCCCATCGGCTCAGCTCGCACTCAGAACTTTGACAAAGACGTGCATCAGTTACATCTTCCATATCTCACCACCATCATTGTCCTTCATCTCAAACGCTCAGCCAACACT